ATCATGTTTATATAGACGATTAATTGTAGACCTTTGCCGAGAACAAGCGATTTAGTTGGAGTTATCGTTCTTGAGCGTGGTCTAACGTTTAAATTCGTCTATTTATCGTATCAAAGTATTTTTTTTTGATTTTTTTTTGCTAGATGGTAATATAATATCATTATCTTTCATAATATACAACTTTTATATACATTTATATGCCCATTTGCCGTGGGACTCATGTAGGACTCATGTGGGACTTATTTTCCCCGTGGGACTTGTTTTAGTATCAGCGTCTAAATCCGTGCTTATATACTTAGTCATTATGTATAAATGTAGTAGTACTGAGATAATCTAGGCTTAGCCTAGTGCTTTTATGGCCACTTGCATATCTTTAGCTCAGGTAACCCTGATTTAATAGGTGATCTAGGGATCAGATAACCCTGCCTTAAACCTGGCTTGAGCTGTACTCAGGTGAGAAGTAGTTGGGTTGCAAACCTGTGACTCAACCATTTCTTACCTGAATACGGCTTAAGATTAACTCATTCCTTGAAAATAATGGCAACAAGACAGAAGTCAGCAAATTTTTCTGAGTTAGAAAAAGAAATTTTGTTAGAGCTTATCCATGCTAGGAAGGACATTATAGAAAATAAGCAGAATGACGGCAGAATGGTTAGTAAGAAGAACACAGAATGGATAAATATTGAGAAAGAATTTAATTCTAGACATGGTGTAAACAAGAGAACCATAACACAGTTGAAATCGTTATGGAAAAATCTAAAAGCCAGAACGAAGTCTGCCGTAGCTAAGGAGAGGAGAGACAAGATAAAGACAGGTGGAGGACCATCCGGGAAAAGCTTGGATAAAATTTCCAGCACCATATCAGAAATGCTTCCTCAGCAAATTAATAGTTTGCGAAACCCATATGACGATGATGCAAGTCTCCATGGAGATGAACCAGAAGATGACAATGAAGATTCAGATGATAATGACGAGGTATACTAGTATTTTGTCAACATTATTTGATTAAAATAATTTTAATGGAAATATCTTTTCATATACATGTTATATGCTCTGTAGATTTTTTTTTTATTTTTCAACCTTTATATAATATTCTGCGATCCCAATATTGTTGTCAAATTACGAAAACATGAAAAAGATTTGGCGCACCTATCATTTTTAATAAATCTACATAAATATTAGGCTATTAAAAGTGGGATTTTTTCAAAAACATGTTCAAACAAAAAACATTACATTAATGATATATTTTATTTACTCATAATATTTACAATAAATGTTTCACTGTTCACAGATACTGACAACGAACACAGTTCAAGAGGATGCGCCGATGTCGCAAGAATCCGTCAAACCGCAACAACCAGCGTCCAGAGTTCCTGGTTCTAAACGAAAAGCTGCTCCCGGACGTCAAGACCAAGTCAAAAATAGACTCCTGGAATTAGCAGAAATAGAACATCAGAAAAAAATGGCAATCCTCCAGTTGAAAGAGGACATACTAAAGTTAAAGAAACAGAAACTAGAGAATGAAATAAAATCCAGTGAACCTAAGTTGCCTGTAGCTCCAACCACTACTTATGGAAGTACAGATTCTAACAACAACTGTGGATCTTTCTGGCAACCATATGCTCAGTGAATAGTATATATAAACTACATTAAACATTTAACAATTGAAAAATTAAATTCATTATAATTAAACTTACTTGTTTGTTTGATTTTTACTAAAAATGCCTTATTAAAACTGCTCTTAAAGCCTGTCCCCCTTGGTTAGCATTTGGTGGCACCGGAACTGGAACTGCTGTGTCTCCTTCATCCTCATCATCGGGTATCGGTATGGCGGCTTTCTTGGCAATGTTGTACAAAACTGCGCAAGCAATAATTACGTGCAAAGTTGTAGAAATCTTAAACCTCAACTGATTTCGAAGGCAAGGAAAACGTCTTTTCCAAATGCCAAACACATTTTCAATCTTAACTCTACTGTTTCTTAAAGCAAAATTAAAGCGTCTCTCTTGTGGTGTCCTACAAGTAAAAGGGGTGTTATTAAATAAGGTTTGAGAGCGTATCCATTATCTCCAATCAAAATCCCAGGAATATTTCTTCTTTCAAAATTAGCACAGACACTACTGTTCTCAAAAATCCGACTGTCATGAGTACTCCCCGGCCATCTTGCAACCACATTTGTAAGCATAAGATCATTGTCACAAATGGCCTGTACATTGATGGAGAAAAATCCTTTCCTGTTGCGAAAAATTTCTGCCATGTCACCTCCAGGTGATTGTATTGGGATATGGGTACAGTCAATTGCACCCACAATTCCGGGAATACCACTATGGTTCATAAAACCTCTTTGGATTTCAGTTAATTTATTTCCTGAAGGAAATACTACATAATTCTTGTAAAGCGATGCCAATGCAGATGAAACTCTCTTCACAATTCGAGAAGCTGAACTTTCATGAACTCCAAAGAGATCTCCAGAAACTCTGAGGAAACAGCCAGTTGCATAAAACCGTAAAGCTATTAGTAGTTGGTCAAGTGGTGATATTGATGAAACCTTCTTTTGTTTTGGCTCCAGGTGTTCCCCAATTTCATTTAATAATTCAATTACACATTCCTTTCTTAAGCGAAATCTGTCAATAAATTCTTCCTCCGAATAATTCAAAAAAGGGTTTGTCCTGTCTCTTACCATTCTTTCTCGCCTGATAAGTCTTTCCACTACATAAATTTGGTCTATTTCATCTAAATAATACTCCATTACTTATAAGCCTTCCTTTAAACCTGCCCTTTACCTGGTTTACATTAAACCACAATGCTGAGCTCTACTCAGATAAATCAGAGAGGTCTGCAATTGATTTGATAATTTTGAACCTAACTTAAGTCTAGATTGCCTTGACCCAGGCTTAAGCCAAACATGTACAAGTGGCCATTTCTGTTGGACGTAGATTGCTGAAGTCCAAAATATAAGAAAATAAATGCATTTAAAACATCTTACATTTTTATTTTTGTAATTGAATTTCACAAAAATGATGTAGGCCCCTAAATCTAACAACAAATAACTTTGATAGGGTTGGGATATTAAAGTAATTACAATATTTCCTGGTAAGTGTGGATTAAAACAAAGTTAAGGTTTGAATGTCGTCAAATCTAACAGGTCCAGTACAATCTCTTGATTTAGCTATATAGCTTTAAATATCGCTATATACTTTTATTAAGCTATTCAAAATAGATTTATTTAGCTATTTATATACAGTTTTTCACAAAAATGTCTTTTGCTAGAAATAAACAAAAAAGTCGCACGTATTTGACTCTTTGTGTATTAACTATGGGCTATCAAAACAACAACCAAAATAAAGATAGTTTTAACATTACAGCTTTTGAATATTTTTAAGCAAAAAGAGAATTTCTATTGTTAAAGTAACTGTCCACTACCCTGAGTGGCAGTGAGTGTGTTAAGGCATGAATAAGTATGATTGCTTCTCATTGTGCTGAACTGTTACCAATCAATTATCTTGTTGACCATAATTGGTCTCCTTTATTATATCATTGCAGAAGTAGCTGTAACAGTTGCTTTATATAGCCGCAAAACTTGTAGAACTTTAAGTACAAAGTCTCTCAAGGAGATGTAATTTGATGAGTGATTTTTACATGCATTATAATTATTTTACTTTTTTTAGAAAGAGTTCAACTCACAAGGTTGAAAAATCATCTCTGCACCAAGGTGCGCTTTTTTGTACATACTGAGAAAATTACACCTTTAAGAAAAAAAAGTTGTAAAATAGTTAAATTAAGCTATTCTAAATAGCTTAATAAAGCTGTATAGCTATTTAAAGCTGTATAGCTAAATCAAGAGATTGTACTGGACTTGTGACCTGTGTAAATTGATTGGTTTGCCTATGCTCTGTAGAACCCCAAGCAGAGTTTAGTGATGTATGCCACAACAGCTGGATCGGGAGGGGCTGTGGTAAGACGCTGATGTGATGTTTGATCATCCCTTCATCTGTCCATGAACTTTGTTTGCAGCCTTCCAGAACCAGAATTCTTATCTTGTCCATTCATTCTTAAAATAATTTAAATATATGTATTTTTGAAATGTTCAATAGTTGAAAACTATGAAAAGAAAAAAATGATGATGCACAGCATTTATCCTGTTTGTTTATACCTTTGCATTTTACTTTTTTCAGTACTGTATAACTGTATAGGCAATATATTGTAATGTTTGATATTAGGAAGAGTATGAACATCTGTAAATTAATTAGGAGAAGTGTCATTAAGTATTGTTGAGAATTACATAAAATATTAATGAGATTGGTTCAGAATAATGTACAAGTGGAAAAATGTTTGGTTTAGTCTTACTGTTTGACCAACCAAATGGATGTTTCCCACAATAAGAAATCAGTAGTTAAAGTAAGATCTGGATAATGCACTTGTTTTCATCAGGCAACATTAATACACCAGATTGGTTTGTTGGTCGATTTTGTGAATAATTTAATTGCATGCATGATTATTTTTTCTGCTGCAGTAACACATGTAGTTGTCTAAACTGTGTATTGATTTTCAGCTTTGCTAAAATTGCTGAAGAAAGTATTGGGAATGTCAGAAAGTCATTTTTCAGATGGGATCTACTGTTGTGGCATACATTTATAAAGATTTTGAACTGATCCACAGAAACCAATATTTTCTGCTCACTATCTCATCAATTGCATATCTTCTCAGCGTAAAGACAAAATAACATACGAAACTTCTATGAATAATTTTACAATAAATGTAGAAGTTAATCTAGGATAGTTTTAATGAGTAAAGAGGTGTCTAGATGAGAAAACTTAAAAAGAAAAAGGATTTGACTCTTTTGCATTGATTTATAATTGATTTTTGAAGTAAAAAAAAAATGCTGTAGCAGAAATGAGCAGATAAACTGTGTACAATTGTCTAGACTTGTATAAATTATAAATAATTATATATAGGTACTATTGTCTAGATTTATTAATCAGTAATAAATAATTTGTTTATAGGTGGACCTGTGTAGATCCTTTGCCTTCAGAAACTCAGGGCAGACTTACGATGGAATCCCTGTCATGGCCGCCAATATGGACACAGTGGGAACATTTGAAATGGCCAAAAGCTTCGCCAAAGTTTGTACTACTTTTTTGATCAAGTTGGTTTTATAGCCAAAGAGTGGATACTAGATTTTAATTAATATATTAATGCATTGAATCTATAATATTTTTTATAGTCAGTGTGATTTTTAAAGAAATATTGCATATGGTTGTTGATTTTCTTTTCAGAGCAAGTGTTTTGTTTGTATACACAAGCATTATTCTGTAGAGGCATGGAAGGAATTTGCTGCAGAAAACAAGGGCATCATGGAGGTACAGGAAGTCAATTTTTATCAAAATATCCCATTCCTTTGATATATAATAAATATAGGAATATTAAAGGAGAATCGAGCATTGAATATTTTGGGACAATATGCTGAAGAAGGGTTGTAAGGACACTGCTTATAATGCCCTAACTTTTAGTTACAGTTTATGTCTTTCATTTCTTTATTACAATAACAGAGAAAAAAAATTATGAATTGTTCATGTATCTCCATTACCAATCAATAATGCACAGCTGTCCCTAATATTCAGGAAATCTATTGTGTAGTAGAATTTCCATGACTATTTAACAACTGTTTATTGTGTTTGTTTACAGAATGTAGCCGCCAGCACAGGGACAGGGGAGGGAGACTTGAAGAAGCTGATCGCGATTAGTCAAGCCATCCCAGAACTCAAGTACATCTGTGTGGATGTTGCTAATGGCTATTCAGAACATTTTGTCCAATTTGTGCGAGATGTGAGGAAAACATTCCCCAAACATACAATAATGGTGAGGTTCATTCTGCAAGTTTCTACTTAAAAACAGAAACATCTATGTCAGTTTAACTGAATGAGTTACTTTCCTTTACCAGTAAATTGCTTTCAATACAACACTTTCCTGTTAGATATATTTACTGCTGTACATATTATATGAGAGACTACCAGGAACAAGATGTATAAAAATTATGAAACACTGATGCACTTTCCTTTCTCTTAGGCTGGTAATGTGGTAACAGGTGAGATGGTGGAGGAGCTAATTTTATCGGGAGCTGACATCATTAAGGTGGGGATCGGTCCAGGCAGTGTCTGTACCACGCGTAAGAAGACAGGAGTGGGATACCCCCAGCTGAGTGCTGTACTAGAGTGTGCTGACGCTGCCCACGGACTCGGAGGCCACATTATTTCTGTACGTATTACTGAAATAATAGATTAAAAATAAAATATGGGAAAGCATGGCTATTTTAGGAAAATCTTTGGTCATGGACTTTCTGAACTTTAATTAAAGGAAGATTTAAGGTCCAATTTTAGTAAATGTAATATTGTACACCTAATCCAAGGAAATTGTATTAATTTTAAATGCGAGCAAATAACGTTAATTTTATATGTACATTTTACAAAATACTAACCAAAAATTTTATCAAAAAAGGGTACACTTTTGATCATGTTTCTGTGGACGTTTTGAAGGATGGTGGCTGTACTTGCCCCGGTGATGTTGCTAAAGCTTTTGGTGCTGGTGCTGACTTTGTAATGCTGGGAGGAATGTTTGCTGGACACACAGAGTCAGGAGGGGAAATGATTGAGGAAAACGGCAAGAAATTCAAATTATTTTACGGGATGAGTTCAGCCACTGCCATGAAGAAACATGCTGGGGGTGTGGCAGAGTACAGGTAAAATATTCTTAATATTCATCAAATTCCAGAACTTGTAAAGGCACATTACCTTGTACACTTCCTGTGATTTAGATTGATATTTAATGTTGGTAAGGAGAAGGGGCTGGGGCACATTTACAAACCCATGCATTTGACACAGTAATACAGCTAAGTTTTTATGCATACAAAAATGACATATTTTGAAGTCTTATTATAAAAACCAATGATGTACCTGATTTGTTTTCTATTCAGGGCCTCTGAGGGTAAGACGGTACAGATTGAATATAAAGGTGATGTAGACGGCACTCTACAGGACATTCTGGGAGGACTACGGTCCACTTGTACTTACGTGGGGGCCGGAAAACTAAAGGAGCTCAGTCGTAGGACAACATTTATACGAGTAACGCAGCAACTTAATGAAGTCTTCAGTGCATTTACCAAAGAACATTAACAATCATAGTGAACAAGGGTCAGACAAGTGTGTGTCATTCCAGTATTGACTCCTGACATCTCTTCGGTGATGTAATTGATGATGTCATCAATTGTTATTTTACCTTATTTCTGCATGGACCTGGAACAATCAAAGGGATGAACGGATTTTATCAACAGCTTTTTTTTTTTTACCTGATTTGCTTTTAATTTAATATAAAGAAATTTTGTACCAATGTCCAGTTGTTTCAATCTTGTATGCATCTAGTCAGTTGTGCAAATCATGGACACTTTTGGATGTTTTAATTATGGTGACTGAATTTAATGTCATCTATGACTATGGAAAAGAAATCCACATTTTGTTTTATTTTTCTCCACGACTTTGCATTTTGAGTTTTCTGTTATTTGAATCATATTATTAAGGATTTTCCCTTGTCCTGTATTCTTTACAAGGGAAGTTATTTGTTTCACTCTGGGCTAGTTTTTAGTGCATATTGTGATATGCCAAAGTTCTATAGTTAGCCAGAATATTTTAGTAAGAGAATTTTTGTTTTATATACATATCTTGCTCAATGATTTGGTGGAACCATTATTTAAGGAGAAAATGCAACTTGCATTATATATGACCATACCCATGACTTCAGGGCTGCATTCAGAATCATAGTGGCTAACCTAGATTCAAGGTAACAAAATGTCATTTTTGAAGCCACAAATTTTCAGGTTTGATACAAATATTTTTGATAGATACCGGATAATTTTTGGAACTACATGTAGGTTGAAGTTTCTAAGTGAACTTGTTTATTTAAAGAAACATAATTTTTTTAATGGAGAAAATAAACAGCTTTCTTTGATGTGTAACCCAGAATATCTAAGCTAGAGCTTTCTAAAATGTGGCTAGCAAATTGTTCAAAACAGTAGTTACATGTAGAGGTTTGTCTAGGTTTTGTCTATATGATTTTGAATGCTCCCAGTTTTCTCCTTGCTGTGATCAATAAAACAGAAAAATTGGTTTGGATATTGTTTTATCGGAGGCCTGTTTAATTTTTGAAATAAAATCTTGAAAAGTAAATAAATAATTTTTTTAATTATCTTTACCTTTGCAGCGACATACTTGTAGAGTGTACATGTTTATGGTTAACTTGAAATGTGTGGGTATCTACATAAATCGCTCATGTGACCTGTTGATGTTCAAAACCTGTTAAATTTAATTGCAAGCATCCTCTCAATTATAAGGTTGTTGAAAGCTTAGTTTCTTCAACTTCAAAAGGAATTCAACATTTTATGCATGATAATAGGAAAATTTTAAAGGCTTTTTCTCATCTTTAACTTTACAATTGATCATTGGATATAAATTAATTTTTGACCTTACCTGAACAAAGTTGGGACATAATGCTTTATTATATACCTTATGTGTATCACTCAATTTTACTGTTGATTTTATGCTAACACGTGACGTGATCAGACATTCCAGATCACCACACTGTGGTTTTCTGAATCCATATCACCACTCTCTGAAACTGATGACGTAGTACGCTGAAACATGATGTTATTTTTCTTGCACGTTTAAAAGTCCCTTGTTATTATGCTTTGTTCTGTGGATGAATATATACAATTGATCTCTAAAGTTTTCTCTTGCTAAATTTTGCTAGTTATGAGGGGGTATATAATAAATTTATCATTATAACAGTAACTTGATCCGAAGAGCCGTATCACGTCTTGTTGACAGGCACGGATCATCAGATCAAACTCGACACTTCAATGATGCATATATATAGGGATGCTTGCAAGGATGCACATTTCGCAGTGTTAACTCAATTCAAATTGATATATAACATTTTATTGCTTGTCAGAATATTTTCTGAATTTTCTTTCTCTTGTACATTGAGTATTGATAAAAGCTCTCGCTCATTAATAAACAATTATACACACATAACATACAGTGTAATGGGTATACAATTCACATGTAACTACATACATGCATGTAAATGTATAAACTTAACATCATCATTAAAACAATGCAGACATACAAGTTGATTGCATTTGCTCTTAATCTTAGAAAATTTTTACATAAAAATAGCAGAGACAGTAACTATTATCTACTGCAAAATTTGCAACAAAAACAGTTTAAAACACATGATGAGCCAACAATATAACTCCTATCCTATAACCAACTTACACTTGTAAGTAACAAAATAGCTTATATAATTTATGTACATGTGTATATATAGAAACTCTAAACATACGAATATAATATATATATAATATATATATGGACACTTTAACAATATACAAATATATGTAAGATGGGTATCACAATACAGTCTTAATACTCTAGACCTTATCTATAACTACATCACAATATGGTTCTTTTGGCACACTAAACTTGTGTAGAGGTGTTTCAATTCATTAATAAACAATAATTATTGTAAGTGCTTTAAAGCAGTATTTCAAAACACCTCCACCATGTAAAATGCAGTGTGATTTATAGACAATGAATATAAAAGTTTGAATATGTATAAAATGTGTATAGGCCTATTTGCAAATGAAAAATTGCTTCCTCAGTGTCCATCAGTCTTCAAATCTGTCCAGTGTGACTGATTGAATATGCATATAAACAGACAGTATTGAATGATCTAGTTCAAGCTCTTAGTGTTTTCTATCCTAGTTTATAAAAATTTAAGCCAAAAGACAAGATAAACCTGTCAAAAAAAAATCAATATAAGTTGTATGGACAGTGCATAATCAATAAGAACATTCAGGATTTTTTTTATCTGGATTATACCTCGAAGTACATTTCTTTCCCTCGCACACATTGATTGGTTATGAACATTTTTGATTATCCTATCCCAAAACTGTACTGCATAAAATGATTGATATGGAAATTATGACTAACTAGATACTTAATATAAAAATATAATACTTGAATATTTCGATTAATATATATTAATTTTAACAAGATTATCTATCTATACATTGGCTAGTGGATTTCAATCATAAATATACTGAGCACACCAATAAAAACAACCATATGCTGATACATATAATATATTGATTTTAGGTTACATTATGCATACATGATTTAATTACATGGAGATTTTCTACATACTAAGAGAATCATACATCAATGCATGAATTTAGAAATGTAAGTATAAAACTGTGAACATGTATGATTGTTATTTCATGTGTGATAAATTGTAATCACACATGTGTGATAAATTAAATTTATAATTGTCCATTTCACTGAAACAATTCTACTAAATAAAGATGTCTTTTAAAAGCAACATGTGAATAATAGTGCAACATGTATGTCATATGTAAAAATATAATGTATACAATTGTTTTGTGGTAAATTATTGCAATGCCTAAATTCAAAAGCTAGAAAAATACATGTATATCTGCCAAAAATCTAGGAGAAAAAAAAAATACTGATGTAAAATATACTTAACCTGAGGCAAGAAACTTTTGATACTTCATGGAAGTTTGGCAATTTCCATTAGCACTGGTATATAATACAAGGAGACAGCAAATTATGCCGCCAAATTGAGCACTCAGAAGGAAGAACCTATATAGCTTGGACAGAACTGGACAAAGGACTGATATGTGAAGGTATTCACTTATTGCTGATCAGTAAAATGATATCTATTGAGTTATGATGCAGTTATTAAGACAAAAAGTTACACACTACACTGTATATGAATAAATATACTACTCTCTGTACAGGGCATCTTAACACTGAATAAAATGACAGATAAAATATGACAGGTAAACCCTGAATCATACAGGTTTAAAATGCAACATTGTATGAAAACAAAAATCTGTTCATAAAAATTCATACAATTTTTATATTATTTCTTGTCTGCATGAGGAGTGTGGGGTGATCTTGTTTTCCCCCATCATTCCCTTTACATAGTGTGTTCATAGATGTGTTAGCTGCTGTCAGGTCAATGGGCGGAGCCTCTGACAAGGACATGACATCACAGTATTACACTAACCAATAACATCATACAACAGATGATTTCACTAACCAATCATATTAAACATAACAGATGCTAATCAGTGAAGGAAAGCCTCGCCATCCTCCATTTCTTTGCTTTTTTCTGGTTTATCCTGCTTTTCTTTAGAACCTTTCCTCATGAATATCCAGGGTGCACTAAGCCGACTACGATTTGATTTATTGCTCTGAGTTGATAGGCTCTCCCTGGGGCTCTGCATTCGTAGGGGGGCACGGGGGGTCCCCGGGGAGGAGCCTGAGTGACTAGCGTCTGGATCCTGGGGGGTGTTGGGGGTGACTAGTCTGAGAACTAAATGGTTGCCACACTGTCTGACAAGATTCACTACTTCTTCGTGTTTTGCCCACTTTGTGTCTGTGTCCCCTACAGCTACCACTAAATCTCCAACTTTCAGTTTGCCCACCTAATCAAATAAAAAAAAAAAATTAACAGAAACCAGGTACATTTTTTCGAATAATTCATTAAAATATTAAGGTAAAAATTAAAGGTTAACCAAGTAGTTCTTTCACAAGTCTTTCAAAAGAATGGAGAAAAAATATTTAGCTAAAAAATAATAATCTGAAATGTTCTTGATGCAATCTGTCAAATATTCAGCAAGACAAAATAAAGAAATGAGAAGGAAGATATACATGTAATAGGATATACAGTACCTCAGCAACACTGCCAGGTTCGATTTCTGCGACACGAACTGGAGCGTCTCCACGGACACTAAATCCGAATCCCTGATCTGGGTTACGATCCAGAGTTACTGTTCTTGGTGCAGACCATTCATTTTTGGCATTAAATATTGTTATAGGGCCCTAAAATTAGAAGTAAATGTATAAATTCTTTGTTTATATGTACAGAAGAACTCCATATAATATGTAAAACAATGTACATTAAGTGATATAAATTGATATAATTTTTATTAAAAATAGAAATCACTGCTTACTAGTCTCTTGAAGATGTCTACCACACTGATATTTCTGAACTCTGGAGAGACGGGGGAGACATTTTGAGATGTTTTGGGGTTAATTTTAGGAAACATCAGAACCTCAGTGAAATCATCCTCCTCCTCCAAAGATGAAAATTTTTCCAAGCACCTGTTCCAAACAAGGGTAATGAAAACCATAGTGAAGATAAACACTCCTTAGTATCATTTATTCTCTTTTTATAAAACTTTATCCAAGATTTTTTTCTGATTTGAAGTGCTTGGGCTTACCTGTCATGAGCCTTCTTTAAAATGTCTTGAAAGGTATCAATTTTTCTCAGTTGTTTACAGAGGTCATGTAATCTCAGAGCCTCTTCATGGCAGTTGAGTGCCCCTTTTAGGTGAGCTTTCCCTATAGTAAAAAAACAAACTTTTTTTAACAATGAGATTAAAAAATAATCTTTTTAAGACAGCTCTTTTTAGCAATAAATAAGGGTTAAAGAATTTGATACGCAATCCATGAAAGGATTCTTCCACTCATGGAATACAGTTTTCACCCAGAGAATACTTTGATACCTCCCAGAGCTGATTTAATACTAACCCAGTGTAATTCTCTCCTCCTCCGTTTGAGGCATGCTCAGTCTGTTGTTCTCTGTATCAACTTCCTTTGTGTTCTGTAGAGCTTCCATGAATTCCGTTAAAGACTGACTGTCATTTTCTTCTGAAAAAGTATTTTTTACTTTTGATATAATTTGAAATGCTTCATAAACAGAAACCCCTCTAAAAATTCATCATTCTATAATAATATATTTACAGATTTAAGGGTTAATAATTGTTGACATTTCTTAAATATTTTGGTTCTAAGTACATAAATTTTGTACAGCAGTGCTCTCTACTGATTACAAAGGCATGTATAGCTTTACTTGTACAATTTATCAAAGGTTAGGTATGTAAGATACATGTTTCAATATAAGATAGTAGTAGACAAACCAGAACAGTCTATGATAGCCATTGCCATGTGAGTGTGAGCCATGGCCATGTAATACTGGGATTTCACCATCGCCATGGAGACCCATGAGTACGGAATGTAGTCCTTGACAGGTTCTGCGGTCATCAGTAACTTTGTGTCATCGTACATCTGGGACACCTGTAGACAAAGCAGGTGTCAAAATACAGGTATAAGGAGCGATCAAATGTGTCTACGTACAATTCACTTCAGAATTTTATGAAACTTGGTAATGATACCTACCACAACAGCTTCTTGAGCACATCTGACATTTCCTAGGAGTCCATCATTATTGCCACCCAGCACCTTACACTCAAACACACACTCCTGGGCCTGACTCTGTATATACAGGTAAATGGTACAGTCAATATATAATTACAGTAGGTACAGGTAAAACATGTATATAAATACCATTGTAACAATTTGCTTCACATGCTTGAACTTTGTAATCAAATATTTGATGCATGAAAATTGTTGTACGGTTTTAACATGTTTAACTTTTTAGACTGGTAAGTCAAAACATACAAATAAGGGACAAATTCTCTCATTGAGTTACCGGTAACATATAATATCAATACCAGCTGATCAATAATGGATTGTTTGATAAATATTTTGGTGACATTTGACCCTGAGTAACTGACCATCATGAGCTGTATAAGCATGGTCAGTGTATGGGGCTGCATGTCCATACTAGGAGCATTAGTGAAGTGATTGTGTAAATAACGGAAGGTCCCCGCAGCTTTCTGAAAATTACTGATGGCATCTTGTACGCCTGCATGAGTTGTCCTATCCTGAAATAAATTATATAAGGATTTAGTCATTTATACTAGTTTATAGCAATAATATACATCTCCTTTATACTGAAACACATTACGCATTCAACACATGTTAAATTCCCTTAAAATACTCTCTTTTCTTATAATATTGAAATTTTATGCATTTAAGTATCATATATTGTTATATTTACACTACATGTACACAGATAAAATTGCAACACATGTTGGACTACATGTATGCAGCAATTTCTCTGTGTCTTTACCTGTTTACAGCCAATCTGTGTGTATAAAGCACCAATATTAAATAAAACACTGCCTTTCTCGAAGCCCATTGTCTTTTGGGTGTTGGGTACACCTGTTAGAGAGTCATACCTATAAAAGGAATATTCTAATTTACAATACAATACCTTAATCAACCTTATCTTATTACTACTCTCTCTATGATACCAATACTGAAGATCAACAAAGTATCATCACATCTTGTGTTCAAAAGAAAGCAATTTGCTAATTTTCTTAAAATAAACAAATAAAAAGTGATTTACAGTAAATATAATGGTCAAGTATTATCTTGCTTCTTTTAAAATCTTTTTTTCTTTTTGTTACATTTTAAAGCAATATGAGCTGCAACTTAGATGTCTGAAATTTTTGTTAAAAATTGTAATTAACTAATTTGATAATAGAAAATTATATAAGAACATTTATAAACTTCTGTCGCTCATATTTGCAATGGAAGAACTATTTATGTGCTTACATTGACGCAAAATTACATTATTGTCGTCCCGTACAATATTGATTTCTTATATAATACATTCCATTGCACAAATCATTTGTTTAAAAACAATTTTATACTTTCTTTTAGTCCAGCTAATCATAAAGGTTTCAATTACATACAAATGTATCAATACAGCACTTTTTAACTGCAAAATTAAATTCTTAAAAATGCAGCTCATTTTGCTAAAAAAAAAATCTTTTTTTGGGGGGGGGGGGGATCAAAATGACATACCAGTGGAAGTGAGCACCAAGAACTTGGTCAGGAGGGAAAAATCTCCGCTCAATGAAGTGTAACTGGTTAAAGTACTCAATCAACAACTCCACTCCTGACTCATTTCTCTGGGGAGTCCGCATGTCCTGAAAAATCAGAAGAACGAAGTCATACAAAATGAACTGATTATCCCCTCTTAAATAACCATTACAATCACACAATTTCCATGTCTTAAGCACAAAAATAATTGAATACTTAGCACTGAAATGAAACTTAATTGCAACATATTTGGATAAGTCTTCATACATGTATACCGTAAATCTGGAAATTTTTGCTGTAGATAAATTTTTAGCAAATTTGCGAGTTCATTGCAATCGCGAAAATATTTTTCTTAAAAATAAATTACCAATAAGAAAATGTAAACAAAGCCGTGGTAATTCGCAAAATTTTGAAACGTAAAAATTAATCGACACCATTTTGACCCGAATTCGCAATATAAAATCGACGTAAAAATTTCCAGATTTACGGTATAGTTGTACCATAGGAAATTTACTCTAATCTGTGACAGATTTACTTATTAATGGATATATCAAGTAGTGAATACATTACACCTAGTACTGTTTAATTTAACCAAATAGGTAAACAGGTACTTATCACACCTACCTGTCTGAGGTCACATAGCTCCTGGATTTCTTTTTCATACTGAGTTCCATCTTCACTGTAATGCTCCAAAATAAAGTCCTACAAAGATAAAAAATATTAATCACATATGCATTCATTTCTTCAGAATTTTCCTGAGCTAAATAAGTGATTGGTTATAATAACAAGAGTCAAGAAGTATGGATGGTTTTCAATAGATGCAGACGCAAGATCCAAAGATTAAATACCATGTACAAAATTCACAATGATTTAGTACCAGATTACCTACCTGAGATTATACCTGATATGCGATGTAATGCTTCTGCATATACAACAAGAAACTCACAAAATTATAGTATACCTGTATGTAAATTGCAAACTTACAAATCATCATTTGTACCAACTGTAACAAGAGGCCCAGGGGCCACATCGCTCACCTGAGCACATCGGGCTTGAATTTACTCCTCCCCCCCTCCAGGCGTTCATCATTTGAACAAACTAGAATCTACACTACCTGAGGATGATTCCATATAAATATCACTAATCATAGCTTTAAAGTACTTGAAAAGAAGATTTTAAAAGGTTTCCCTATATATCCCTATGTAAAACTTGGGTTGGCCATTTTGGCCCCACCCTAGCGACGGGGGTCATGATTTGAACAAACTTGAATCTACACTACCTGAGGATGATTCCACATGAGTTTCATCTTTCCTGGCCCAGTGGATCTTCAGAAGGATTTTTAAAGATATTTCCTATATATTCCTATGTAAAACTTAGGTCGGCCATTTTGGCCCAACCTTGCCCCGGGGGTCATGATTTGAACAAACTTGAATCTACACTACCTGAGGATGATTCCAGATGAGTTTCATCTTTTCTGGTCCAGTGGTTCTGGAGAAGAAGATTTTTAAAGATTTTTCCTATATATTCCTATGTAAAACTTGGGTCGGTCATTTTGGTCCCACCCTTGCCCCGGGGGTCATGATTTGAACAAACTTGAATCTACACTACCTGAGGATGATTCCACATGAGTTTCATCTTTCCTGGCCCAGTGGTTCTGGAGAAGAAGATTTTTAAAGATTTTTCCTATATATTCCTACGTAAAACTTGGGTCGGCCATTTTGGCCCCACCCTTGCCCCGGGGGTCATGATTTGAACAAACTTGAATCTACACTACCTGAGGATGATTCCACATGAGTTTCATCTTTCCTGGCCCAGTGGTTCTGGAGGAGAAGATTTTTAAAGATTTTTCTTATATATTCCTATGTAAAACTTGGGTCAGCCATTTTGGCCCCACCCTTGTCCCAGGGGTCATGATTTGAACAAACTTGAATCTACACTACCTGAGGATAATTCCACATGAGTTTCATCTTTCCTGGTCCAGTGGTTCTGGAGAAGAAGATTTTTAAAGATTTTTCCTATATATTCCTATGTAAAACAAGGGTCGGCCATTTTGGCCCCACCCTTGTCCCGGGGGTCATGATTTGAACAAACTTGAATCTATACTACCTGAGGATGCTTCCACATGAGTTTCATCTTTCCTGGTCCAGTGGTTCTGGAGAAGAAGATTTTTTAAAAATGCCATTAATTTTTAACAAATTTATGATTATCTCCCCTTGGAAAAGGGCGTTGCCCTTCATTTGAACAAACTTGAATCCCCTTCACCCAAGGATACTTTTTGCCATGTTTGGTTGAAATCGGCCCAGTGGTTCTTGAGAAGAAGATGAAAATGTGAAAAGTTTACAACAACAACAACAACGACGACAACGATAGACGACGGACAAATTTTGATCAGAAAAGCTCACTTGAGCCTTCGGCTCAGGTGAGCTAATAAATGAGTGGAATTCCTTACCGCTAAATACCAGACTTTCGAGCTCTTTGTCTGTTTTCAAAAGTAAAATTAAACAAAAAATAACAGAAGCTCCGCCATATTTTAATTTTGGTAAAAGACGCAACAATATACTGCATACACGGCTTCGGCACAATTGTGTGCTAAACGCTGATCTTTATAGATGTAATATAATACATCATTATTTTTTCTCGTGCCCTAACTACAAAGAGACCAGGAAAGAGTTTTTCGATAAGTTCTTGAGATTTAATAAAGTCCATATTGTTGACATTCAGACTTTACTCTGGGGGGATACATCACTCAGTATTGCTGAAAATGAATATCTATTTTCTATTGTACATTCTTATATTCAGCATTCTGGTAGATTTATCTGATTGTACTCATTTTTAAAACTATTTGTATAAACAATCATGTAGCAGTCTATATATGTCCACAATGAGAGTTTATTTAATTTACTTGTAATTTATTTTGTACAAACTGTTGAACACTTCTAATTCATCCTGTATAATATCTCGTGTAGGGAGAGGGCGATTTAAGTTTTTAGAACTTGTGCCTAATCCCATTGTATATATTTAGTGCAATAAAATATGTTCAAACCAATAGATGCAGCCAGGTCAACAAGCCCAGATTTCTTCATTATTGCATTTATATTACCAGTACGTACATATTCTGATAATACATGTATATGGTTTGCATGTAATTTAAATTTAACATTATATTGACCTTGATGGGTACAGCTAGGTCACATTCTGTTGTCTCCTTTAGGCCCAAAGGAATCATGGGAACTGTGTGTGTACCACTGAAAGACATAAAACAAGTATTTACACTTCATTTCATTGCAAACTTATAATATTAATATTTAACTGTACAATATAAACGTATGGTAAGATGATACATTGATTTTCAACTTTTTTTTTTCTAAATAAGTTGAAAACATGATTTGTTTTAAAGTTACTTGAAAGAATTAAAGCTGAGAGAAAGGCAATTTGTAGCAATAAAAGTTGCCATTAAATTTGGTTATTCATATTTTGATATATCAAAAAGATTTGCATAATTATATGTTATTTGACTTGGGGTGGAGAAAAAATTAATCACAATATTATGACTCATGTCAGAAAATTTTAATTAATATGCCACAAATATTTTCTTTAAAAACCTCAAGAAAAAAATAATAAAAATAATGACACCTCCCTCATTCACACTCCTAACAGGTGAATGCAAAATGAATGTAGTATACTAACAACAGTCACGCTTCATTGGGTAAATTTACACCTTTTTATGACCAGGGCCGCTTATACTTAATAGAGTAATTATTACATACATAAATAATTCCGTTATTCATGACTAGACGTTGACTTGTTCCAATCAGTTCATGAGTCAAAGTGTTTAAAAAGAGCCCTTGGTCACTTGCATAAAAAGCTATAATGGTGTGACCATTAAGGCTTATAATTTACATAGACATTCTAAAGCTTGATCGACTATTTACCAGTGTTGGAATAGGATATACATTTCCCTTGAGGTCAAATTGTTTCTTTATGAGAAGTATGTCAAGTGAATCAGTTCAATTTAGGTTTAAGTTTTCTATAACGGGAACAAAGTGAAAGCGGACTAATTAACATATTTACAGCTCTGTTGATGAAAAATTCAGTTACTAATTTATACATCTGTCAAGATGCTCATTAAACCACCTTTCATTTAAAAAAAAAAACTTCGCATTTCATTTCAATGACAATTTACAACCAACACAAAAGATTTCCAAGATTTTTGTTTTTCCACATTAAGTAAAAAGAATGTTCATTCTAACTATAGCTACCTACTGGGGGTAAAATTGTGTGTGATTTACATACCAGTACATTAAATAATTATCTAATTCAAATTCCTTCTTTCCTATGATTCTAAAAGATAATAAAATTATAATTCTATGCATTGGAGGGCAAATTATTTCACTCATAATAAATATTTAGGCTCATTAGCAACTTCTACATTGAACCTGTATGCAAAGCAGAATTCAAATTCATAATTTGCACAGGATAACTTCCAATATTTTTATTGAAATGTCTAGTTATAGAAGTACTATTTAATTGTACTATTATAAATTTGAGAAATAACTGTAAAACATATCTTATGATGTTTTATTGTTGGTCATTGCAAAATCATAGGGTAGGATACAAATTTTACTAATCTAATTGCTGATCATTTAATAAAACAGAATAAAATACCTAGTTTTGACATTAAAAGACAACTGCTAATGAAAAAAATTAAATGCTTTGTGTCAAACACTTTAATTTTGTAAGTAAACTCATGACTACTATACATTTGTACCACAGCAAAACTCTAGGCCTAATTTATTAAATCTTAAACTGCATGGATAACAATTAAATTCCAGAGAAGATAAAAGTACTGCAAAGTTATACTTCTACCGTAAAAATTCTGACAGTTACATAGAACAAAATAATGCAACATCATCATAAAACCCGCTATAAGTGACAAACTTTGATGAGGCGCTGACAGTTTGATAAATAGTGACCCTCTGTATCACACTAGATCTGACACGTACTCCCCTCTCCTTAACAGGTCCCTACTCCCTGACCGCTGACCTCCAGAACAGACACTTTATGTACCCATATAAATCATTGTGTCTACCAGAGTCCAACACCAGCCAATGATCTACTGCCCATTCAGCGACCAGGCAATTGTAGGAAAGTCGCAGGTGGCTCATGGCTCAGTGGGTGAATGAGAATGTGGAGGGCGATGGTGGTTCAAAGTTTTGAGTACATGTGATATTTGAGTGACCTGAGTGGTACCCTTGGCATCATGCTTGGGTTTTTGATGTCTACATGAATGGGTTCTTGTAATGTAGATAAAAAGGCCAAAACTTGGTTCTGTGTGACGCAGTGTTTTTATGGCAACAGTTACAATTAGCATATCTGTATCCTACATGTTCAAGAATATTACTGATAATGAGTGGTCTACATCTTTGATGTGTATATACTAAGACAGTAACCCTTTGCCAAGCTGTAAATCATTACCTATTCCAATAACATAATTATTTGTGAACTGCAAGTGATAACTGGTACAAGACCAAAGGTATATACATGTACTATAACATGCACATTTCCTGCAGATTCAACAGAAATGTTACCACATGCTTGTATACTTCATCATTATAAAACCAATTATAAAAACCTAGTATGTAATACTGTATATATGATCAATAGGTAGATCTGAGTTTCTCTTTTCACACTGAGCCAATAGTAAAGGCAAAGTATTTGCCAAAAATATGCAAGGCATGTGTTGATATTGTGGAGCAATTAGTTTTCATCTCTAAAGAATGTTTGGCTATCAGTACCGGTACTTCATTTAATTTGAAGTCTTCACATATTTCATCCCCATTTTATTGACTGAACAACAATTTACCGTCAAAGTAGGCATGAGCTAGTATGGTTAAAATACATTCATTATACCAAATCAATATATGCATTTCTAGATGCATGTCTAAATAAAGTGCCACGCCACAGCATGATACGCCCGTCAAAAAATTACAATTACCTTAAACAATTAAAAGTGCAAGAAAATCATGTCAACCTTGATTTTAAGATTTCCATGATTTTTCAACTCCTTAAAAAATGTGTTTATCCATCTCCTGTGGTGTAGGCATTAATTATAACATATACTGCATCATTCATAGATTTCTATACTGGTTGTGTTAGACCTTGCCAAATGCCTATCATATTAAACAATATCAAATTAGTCTTAACAACTTAATCTATACCTAATTAATTTTGAAAATAAAAGGCTGGCCATCAAATATAAACTGACCAACAGTTCTTCTGTCTAATTCCCAAATGATGCACTGTCAGTTAATTAAGATAATGCTCTGAAGAAATGATTGAGACAACTATAGCCTTGCTACACTGAACACATTAATTAATCTTTAACTGGATGCTTGTCTACTCATTACTCCCAAGAGATTATTGGATCTGCACTATCTACCATAAAGCATTTTTAAAACATATAAAACCTCAATGATTTTTTTGTTAGATTTAATGGCAGACAGGTTTTAATATGCAATTCATATGGACATGCTGATTCCACCCCACCCCCATAAAATTATTTTTTTAAAGTTCATAATATTATGTAATATCAAAATAGTTTATTATGCAAAATCAAATTAGTTTTATTTACTTCTCATCAAATTCATTTTAAAACTTATGCTAGCCAACAAGAGCTATTTTTAATCCAACAGGATTACCCATTTGACCCAATACTCAAGGGATATAGATAGCACCGATGCTCTTCCTCGCACTAAACTCATTAATTTCTCTAATTTGACATGCAATTTTCTGTTATCAAAATTCTTCTTGACCAGTGCTTGATAATTAAACTCATGGGAGTGGTGGAATTTCTTTAACATACATTACATTTGTTAAAGATTGCTGTCAAGTATATGCTTAAAAAAATAAGTATTTTCTTGATTTAACATTATTCTAATAAGAATAGTGCAATACCTTTACATTTTTTTGGAGTGTGTAAATGAAGAGAAAACAAGACATTTTTTTTTAAAATTTCACTTAAGTTAAAGGTCACAGTGACCTTGAAATAGGTCGCGACACACCCTCTACCTAAGATGCATGAAGTGGCCAAGTTTGATGATTCTAAGTCTAATAGTTTTCTAGTTATGGACCGGACAGGATTTTTCCATATTTGGCTATAACTTTTTAATTATAGGTCAGAGCGACCTACTTTTTGTGCGCGACACACCTTCTACCCAAGATGTATCAGCTGACAAAGTTTGATATCTCTAGGCCTTATAGTATTCAAGTTATGAGCCGGACACGAGAAAAGCTAACAGACGGACGGACGGACAGACGGACAGACGGACAGACAGACGGACATGAAGCCTATAACATAATACGTCCCGTCTTAAGACGGGCGTATAAAAAAAATCAATAATACTTTCCGATTTCTTAGCTAAACCAGACAAAACATTGCAAGTGTACAGAATTATATAGATCTGCAGGTGACCAAAGTCAGAAATACTTCATCAATCAAGGGGCTAGACAAATATTCTATTTTCAATTGAAGTTTTAAATCTCCCTGATTTATACAAAATTTATTGCATTCCTGGAGTTCGGAAACAATACACTGTAACATAGAAAATCTATAAAATTCTATTCAATCATTCTTTTATGTATTTTGAAAAGTGTTTTGTCAAACCGAGAGCCAATGAGCTTATAAACATACAAAAAATGACAAAAAAATCAAACCTCACAAATAAAAAATGCTGTGATCACATATCAGTACAAATGAAGTGAAAGTATAAACAAAATTCTAAACTGAATATCTCTAAAATAACTTCTGTTGATAATTAGTTAACAATTAAGTGACTGAAGTTCCACTCTATTAAGATTGTAAGGAATGATAGATTTTGATGAAATGTACACTTTGTTATAAACAGTGATAAATTTAGATAAAAGATACCAGGATTGTTTGATTGTGTAAGAGAACAGGGAGATTTTTGTCCCTCGTCTTTAGGGACATGATGGATTCCCCCCCCTGGGTCAGTGGACAGGAAACCTGACGAGTCATTACAGTGTTAACGAGATGTTACTGGGTGACTTTTTCACACAAACGACAAATTTAACACCGACATGAACAATGTTCTATAACCACAGAACACTCATATTGTGGTACTGACTAATTATGCATTAACAGCTAGGTGTTTACTTATACAAGTTAACTCATAGCACAAATTCTATTTTGGATATTCCAGAAAATAAAGAATTTTTATTTTAGACATTATTTCAGAAATATTTCAACCATGCTGGTACACCCACTGAACCTTTTATTCATTAACACTAAATGCTTACTTGTCATATTAGCACTAACACTTTATATGGTAAATAAAGCCTTCTTCTCATCGGGTATGCTAGCACTTCTGCTTGTCATATGGTAAATTAACACTAATGCTATTATGCTTACTTGTTATTTGGTACTTAAACACTAATGCACATTTGTAATTTGGTACTTAAAACTTATGCTTACTAATGTTGGTACACCAGAACTTAGCTGTTCAGGCAGTTCTTCCTTCTATAACCAATGCTTAAATAGTTATTCTGGTTACTGATGCCAATGCTTTTTAGTTATGCTGGTTAAATGAATCAGATATTTATGCTTACTTGTCATGCTGGTACCCTATTTATGCCGATTAACTGACATTTATGCTTACTTGTCATGCTGGTACCCTATTTATGCTGGTTAACTGATATTTATGCTTACTTGTCATGCTGGTACCCTATTTATGCTGGTTAACTGATATTTATGCTTACTTGTCATGCTGGTACCCTATTTATGCCGATTAACTGACATTTATGCTTACTTGTCATGCTGGTACCCTATTTATGCTGGTTAACTGATATTTATGCTTACTTGTCATGCTGGTACCCTATTTATGCTGGTTAACTGATATTTATGCTTACTTGTCATGCTGGTACACCAGGACTGAGCTGTTAAGATCGGACAGTTCCTCTTTCAGTAACTGGATGTTGGAGTTGAAGAACGACAGCTCTACAGCCACTAGTTCCTTTAGTCTCTTGTTACCAGTAGCTCTGGAATATAGTGAGTAATCATTTACTTACAGTACATGTGTAATCGTTAGCTTCTTGTATTACTAATAAAGCTATAATAATCTAAGAGTTTTTTTAAGGCTTTGCATATTGAACTGTACATATAGATTTTTCAGTTTGCCCAATGATCAATCCGTACAAGGAGCACAGGGTGGGTGTGACTGGTTGACAGGGGATGTTTACTCCTCCATGGCACCTGATCCCACCTCTGATGTTTTAGAGGTCCTTATATGCTCTGCTTCCCATTTGTATTGTTTAAATGGATTTTTGAGCTTGATTTCTGTTTATTATCTCCATATTTCATCTCTTTTTATTAGTAATTTGACAAAGTGCATTCTAAAATGCTGAACAGGCAATTTATTTGAATTCATTAATGCACTAGATGTTTCAGGACTGCCAGTTTTTGCATATATTGTACATTTACACTTGTCAAAATAATTCTGTGCCAGGGTTAAATCTGCACATCAATGGTGATTGTTTCTTTACCTTTCTACTTCTGAACTTAACTATTTTAATTACCATCTCTCAGTATTTTAATCACCATCTCTCAGTATTTCAACTACCATAAGACATAAATTTATAATTTTATCTTAATACGTGTATTCTACATAACATAAGACGTTATGAATACATGTATGCATGATGTCTTCATTTTAGACCATAACATTTTATTTTAGACCTTTACATTTTAATAACCTCCCTGAGGTGTTGTAAATATTTAACATTTTAAATGATATGCCCTTCTTGAGTAAACACATTTCTCATATGTCCATAATGTAATTTGTCTTGATTATCTCAAACACATACTATATAATGCTCCATTTCATACAACCTTTTTTCTACAATGTGTGAACTTCTATGTAAGATTTATATCTTTAACACATTTGGAACAGGCAAAATTACTCTAATTTGCAAATCACTCAAAAAACTCTTAACCTTCAGGGTATATATAAAAGCACAAAACATACAATGATAAGATTAGGGACCTACTTTTTGTGCTAAATTATTGTTTTAATAAGTACAAATTGTATGCTTCATTTGAAATTGAAATAATTTTGTGCATAGCATTTTGTTTTATTATGAATTTGGTAAACTTTTAAATTTTCCCTGGGTATTTTATGTAAATGTTTAGTTACCTAAACAAATTTTCAGCTCCATTTCTCATACGGAGTTCTCTGTTTATTTGATCGTTCACCTTGGATCTTCGGGACTGAAGTTTGCCTCTAGCTGTGGAAATGAGCGGATCGGAACCCTGTAAAAACAATATACCTCATAATTACACCAATGTCAACAAAAACAACATCTTCAAACCCCGCAGAGCAAGGCTCATTGTGTTTCAAAAATCTAGAGTAATGGATTAAAGATTTGAAGTTTCTATTTGTTGAAGAGATCTGTCTGTTAAAAGTATCTGTCTTACACCCAACAAACCTTGTTTTTTAATCAAACTAAGCTCCCTGAAAGATTGTTATAATTAACATGTCTTTAAACTGTCAGAAATGGGGTCGGTGCCAACGGCAATAAAATTGTTACTTCAACTTTATCATGATGATGTTGATGTATTTAGACTCTTTGGCTTCAGAAGAAGAAAAAAACAGCTAGATGTGTACTGGTATATGTTTATTTTGCCAAATTACAGAGCAGGAAAATCTCAATAGCAAATCCAGGCCTCCTTACAATGAAGGATGTGGAGTTCAAGGGTAATATATACCTCTCCCCTGTGATCTTGTAGCCATAAAACGCCCACACATTGGTCAGTGTTGACCAGACAAGGAAAGGACTGGTGATTTTATCAAATGATCATTTACATATAGACTGATCAGCTGCTCAGGTCAACCTTATTTTACTTAAACATATCATACACACAGGTAAATGAACTCTGTTAAAATTCTGAATTTCAGTTTGTTCAATATGAGAATTTATAGAAGTGATTGCACCAGAAGCACATGATTATGCACTTCATTAAAGAAAAACACATAATTCAGTAATGTATACAATCTCTTCACAAAATTACATGAATTTCATTGTAATAGACTCATATAAAGAAAAATTTAAACTGTGAGAAAAATTTAAGAAAATACATATCTAGTAAAATCTAGCTTTAGAATACAAGTCTAAACAAAGACTTTTAATCTTGTGTCATCCTCTATCTATAATAGCCTGTCATTTAAAGGTGAATGAAAACTTGGCCTTTAGCGCCACTTGTAAGTTTAAAATTGTGTCACATTTCTTCCAGGAATTAAGTCAGGTTCTTTAAATTTGAGGTATTTAAATCCTTGTAGTGATTCTTGTGTATACTATCAGTCTCACTGTCTGTAAAATGGGCCTTCTGACTTTATAAACAACATGCCAATTGCAAGATAGAACTGAAACAGGAAATTATGCTATGGAAAACATATCCCCCTCCCCGTGGTATTCCTTGATACATGTATATGTGTATGAAAGGGCCTAAATAATCTGTTGGGAGTCCCTCAAATATCAGCTTTTCAGTCCTCTTTCTACATTCATTGAATACATACAGTGTAATTACAAGAAATATATTCAGAAGAATTAAATGTGTAAGATTAAATTCAAAATATTTCAAATTGTCTGAAGTTGATGTCTTGTAGAACTCAACAATAAGACCAGGAAGTAGCTCCAAAAGTATGAATACTAGATATCATTCAGAATGATTTATGGACTTTCAAAATATTTTAAATACATCCTAGATGTACCGGTATTCTACACCTGGTGGTCTGAAGGAATCAAATGGACTACCTAGAATAATACCTGTCACTGAATTTTATTCTGTGAAAGCTTTCACCAACTGCTACAAGGATATGAAAAATGGCTCTCAAAATGCATTAAAGTCAATTGAACCTTATCTACAGAAAATCAACTGTCAGGGTGTAGTCATTTGTAAAGCTACTGGTATTCAATTCCTCTTATAAAATTCAAACCATATCCAAATCTAAGCATGTAATATTGTGAAAGAAAACAAATGGCACATGTTTCTTAATTCAAAACAGAATTTTCAGCATTTCAACATGAAATAGATGCATAAAAACAAACAAAACTCTACCTTTCCATTCATGTCTGCAGTCCACAGATTACACAGAAAACAAGTGAAAAAATTCCCCAGATTTCCAGGTATCTAGCTAAGTTTGACAGAATTCCATGTTACCCTCCTTGTATCCCTGTAAATCAGTCCCTGTGAATTCCTTGAAGATTACGCAGATACAGATAATACCTGGTATAACAATAGCTGCCATTTAGCCTACTCTACTTTTTTTTAAATGCAGCCCCCTTCCATCAAGAAAGGTGATCTGCTGCTAACATCCTGAATTCAATGGAGTTCATTTTCTTTTTTGTTACATTAGAACTGGCCACGAATTTAATAAATTTCTTACTGTGTAATTATACCACTACCTCATATAAAATACCTGTTAAAAAAGCCACTGAAAAGAAAAAGAATACTTTCTTTAAAATGTACCATGAGAAAGGTTAAATCAGCATAAACACAGACCATACAGTTCATGTATTTTTTGACGATTCATTTAAGCTCTGGTCTACATAGTTTAGATATCAATGCATGAGGCTCTCTTCTGAGTAATTGGACAATTATTACGTACCCCCTAAATCCTTATTTGGAATGTTATCTTCATGATAAGATATGCTGTTATTTTCTTTCTAAATTTCCCCCTAACCTTCTCTAGTTGATGCATTTAGTAATTGAAAGGGACTTCCCTTCAACAAAGTCCCATTTGTGAATGCAGTGTACTGTGGAATCACAAATTTTTGTGGGGGGCAATTTTTCAATGTTTTCAAGGTATGAAGAGACCCACGAATTCATGTCCCTCACGAAATGTAAAATGTTACATACATAACTACTCAACAATTCTTCATCCACGAATTCAAATCCCCACGATCCAAGTGTTTTTACTCAAACCACGAAAATTTGACCCCTCGAAAATATATGATTTTACAGTATATTATTGCAAATTTGATGGGATACAATGCACCTTCAACCCTCATTTAAAAACTCAAAATCTTTTTGGTAACAAGTATTTGAGTTTGCAATTGAGCCTTCACCCCACCCCAATCTCCCTTTTGTATCCAAAAATATTTTTGTATCCCAAAACATACATGATGAATACATGTGTATAATTCATTTGTTGTTGTGTGGTTCTACATATATCATTGTTATTATGGAAAGTAAGCGGCTTGAATTAGTCAAAAAACAGTTCCATAAACCGCTGAAAATTCAAGGAGCTTCCAGAGTCCTAGGATCCATGGACATCCAACCCCAAACTCAACTGGAAAAAAATTGGCCCAGTCTTTCAAGAATCCTGGATTTGCCACTGTGAACTGACCTTTTACCTACTAAAGTAGAGAGTTGACTTGATGCCTGTGACACACCAAAAAAATCTGTCATAAAGACACGTGTCAAATTTAACCTCAATATTTCATTACTTCAGTCTGGATGTCAGTCCAATGCAATCATTTGATACCAACATTGACTTCTTTCATTCATTGATTTCCATCTTCATTTCTTCTTTTTAAAGATTGTAGAGGCTTTGTAATTAATGTCAAAAGAGAACACACCAAGATGTCATTTTGTACACTTTGTATTGCCTGCCTTAAGTTTAAAGTAATGTGGTTTGAGAGTGTGGGGAAACTATCAAATGATTAACAGTGAGTTCATTGAGGTTTTTCTGTGTATAACTGAGCTCATCATGCTTTAAAATTCTTGGTAATGGAAAAAGGTTATTTGAAGTATTAAGAATTGAAAATATTGGTTGGCACTCTTAATTAATGTACATCCAATTTCAATACACATCCCTATTAGTATTAATCATAAAGGGGCAATCACTAAAATATAATTAGTAAATTGCTGACCATATCCAGAAAATCTTTAAATTTTTATATTATTTTAGTCTCAAAACCATATAGTCATATAATGCAGAGTATAAAAAGGGAAATAAACAACAATCGATATACAGATACGACATGTAGTACTTTTTAAAGCTTCAGTTATCATATTATAAAATTAATTTACTTTCATACATAAAATTGATTAGACATGCAGTTAGACCAAAGTTGACTTTTTTCCAACTGTAGCAGATTACCTTTCTTCTGGCTTTCAAGGCTTCGCTAGCCGGAGTAAATCCGTTTGTATGTGTAACACTCATTCTCTAGAATTATCATCTAGATCAGAAGTTTCAAAGTTTTCTTTCTACATTCTCTATGTACACCTCTCCTCAACATTCTCATGAATACTTTACGGATGACCTCTGACCGCAAGGCAAAAAGCGTGACGTCACTTTTAGGGGAGCAGTTATTATTTCGTGTCTATCACGAATGGTAATATTTTATTACATATTCCAGATTTAATTGATATTATCGAATTAAAGCAAACTTTTATTTGAACTGTGGGTAAAATTAAGACTTTAAGAAATTGGTTTTGTCAACTTTAAGAAAAATAAAATATTTACATTTGTTTTTGATTTTCAGAATAAATATTTGTATACAAAAAAAATAGTCTCATTTGAATTCATTCATAGGAATTTTTATAAAAAATTATTTTATCTTAAATTGCAATCGAGGCGATTAACTATGAACGAACTACGACTCGCACGAAAAGTGTATGTACAAGTTGTTTTTACTCTTTATTCCCCCGGAACATTTCTAGACTTATCGTATACCAAAAGAATTTCAGAGGAAGGAACACCCATCATCTGTTCAAAAATGTTTTTTAAAGATCGTAAGGTTAAATTTGTCTATGCAGAATGAAATATATAAGAAAAATTGCTAATAACATAATCTTTGTTAGTTTGTTATCAAAATTTTGTTTGCATTAATTTAATGAGGCTTGTCATACGAACTTGTTTCTCGATCGAATTTCCTCGGTTACACATTAATAATGGAATGTTATATTACAGATCCAGTAAGATTATGAATTAAACAGCAGATATGCCAAAGGGAGGAGCACCGCTCGTCACGGGAGTTTCTCCCAAAGAAGGACCACCTGGGACAAGAATTACTATCAGAGGAGAGAATCTTGGAAAGGATCCCAAAGACTTAATTGGTAATATGTTTTACGGTGTGACCGTTAGGGTGAGCGCAGTCCAATACACAGCTTACAGTTGAATAATTGATCCGCCTCTTCAAACATCCAAAAGCATGAGACACAATCTAGACTGTGACTTCACTAATCCGAGATTCCTCTGATTCTAACCCCTGCTTTTATATTGTGACTTGTGCAGGGGAGAGTCATGAAAACTGGGAATCTGGCGAGAACCTTTTACAAGAGACAGCCGATCAGTAAAATAATTATTTTCCTGTTAATTGTCATTAAAAGGATGCAAGACACCGACAAATGAAGCATCACTTGAACTAGGGTCTTGACTGCTTTGCGCAATGTTTTTTCAATGAAATACAAGTCAAAATATAAAAGCGGGGGTTGTAGAGAACATGACGTTGGAATTTAAAGATATTTTTTGTTTACTTTTAAATGAAATTCGTTTATGAAAATATTTTTTGTTACGTTTAAGCTTTGTGCAGATAAAAAAACATATCTTGGTAAAGAACAATTATTCTTGGTCTTTTGTATGTTTTAAAATAAATTCGCTTGGAGCCACCTTTTATGCTTGCTTATTCTATGAAATGCCACTCATTTTTTAGTTTTCCCTTATCATAGATTTGTATATCTGTGGAGTGAACTGTGTGCTAACAGCAGAATGGAAATCCTCCAGTAAGATCATCGCCCGTACTGGTCCGGGGAAAGGGAAGGGGGACATCATAGTCCGGACAAACTCGGGAGGTATGGGGAGCTGTACTGTAGGATTCAAAGGATATTTTGTCCAAATTGGTAAGTTATGAATTCATGTAGGTGGCTTACATGTACACTGTATTTTACTCAGATTCAAAGACATCAAAAATACTTGGTAAGGTCTATGGAAGCCCGAACTTTGTCTAATGACTGTGCTGTCATACCGTATAATGGGTATTTTCTGCGATTGGAAATTTTTGCGATTTAATCCCTAAAAGGTAGCAAATTAATTTTTGCATTTTCAATTTCTGTAGTTGCACTATACAGCAAAAAATTATTTACAGGGTACCATATAGGATCATCAAACTCTACAGTTTATTGGAACACTGCCATGATTACGTTTTGTAAATTCATTCAGACACATAAATGAAAGGTGCATGAGAACAGATATTCACGAGACAATCAAGCCATATTGTATACATAAGCAGTTATTTTAATCACAGTCTGAAGACAAAACAAAAGACTGAAAAGTGGAAAATAAGAAAGAAAAACTGACATATTTTGTTTGTAACTATCAAAGTTTTGATGTCACCCAAATTTTTTTGCTAATGAAGATAAGTCCACGCATGAGTCTACAGACGCACCACTTATCATACTTGCATGTATAAAATACATGAAGGGACATTAAAAATATTTAGCGATTGTTACTTTTGCGATTTGTACTATCCGCAAAATTGGACAACAGCAGAAAATACCCGTTATACGGTATGACAACATAGCCCATTATCTTCACCCTTCCTGTAATTATTGCATATAGCTTTCATACAACAGGTTTACTTCAAGATTTATACAATTTATCATAATCTTTAAAATGTCCAAGATGACATGAAAACAGTTTAAATGATGCCAGAAATGTCAGGCACGTAGCATCGTTTTTGAAAGTGGGGGGGCCAACCTGTAAATTTTTTTTTACTTACCTGAAAAAGTTGACAAGCAAAAAAAAAAAAAACGAAAAATTAAAAGTTGCATACAAAATCAGGTTTACTTTTTTCAAGACCTATATCTTTCAATTTAAACTCATGCGGTAATCTTTAAAATGTCCTGAAATGTGGGGGGGGGCCAACCTTCCTTTCAGTAAACATTTTCTATAGTAAAGGTAATGTCGGGAGAAAAAGTGGGGGGGCCAGAAATGTTATTAAATATTTTCAGTGTGCATTTACACTAACACCATAAATTGATAAACAGATCTGGTTTTTGAACTGAACATTTTTGTTAATATCAATATTTTGTTTCTTTGTTATTGAAGGTCCACTTCAGGATTCAGCCATTTGGATTGATGAATCACAAACTGTCAACGTTCGTCGACTTCACGCTCAGCTTCCACTGTTTTCTAAAGACGATGACGACCCACTGGGAATATCTGATGAAGGCATTCAGTAAGTACATATAAGTAATATTGAATATACATTTATTAAATCTATTTAAGTTTTTAGCCATTCATAATGTTGAAAAATGAGAAAGACATCAAAACTTCCTTGAAAAATTTCATACATATGTAGAAATCTGGTAAATGTAGTAACAGTCTTTGACTTGATGGTTTACTTCAAAGAATAACTGTACAGGACACTGATGCCCCCGCTTCTGCTGAAACAATTACGTACCAAGATAGGTAAAAAACGGATGGACTATGTCAGTGTTAGACTTGCATGATAGAACATCATTACTATTTTATTAACTGTACAAATCTGTTTCTTACAGGAACTGAAATTCCAAAATTTAATAAGCATGACTGTGTTTACTATAGGGATGGCAATAAGTTAACCATTTACGGTACTCAGTCTGATGGTGAAAATGCAGCTTGAAGTTGTGACTCCTTGCCTGATATCTCAGGCATGTTTCATGGAGAAAGTGGAATTAAAATTCATTTACTATTGAGAAAACTTGTTGCTGTTATATAACCAGCTGTAAATTTTGTAGTTGGTTGCCATCCCTACTTTACTTTCTTAAAACATGTTAAAGGAAAGTCCAAAATGTTACTGTTTTCTGTGTTAAACAGCATGTTGCTTGTTATATCTGAGAAATACAACAATCCATTGAAGTACTGAAATATATGAATGAATCTGTTTTCAAGGTCTTACATCATGCAGTCATTAATTTATCTGTTTACATTTCAGTTCTGTACTTTGTATGATTGCTAAAAAATATTTTTGAATGATATTTATGTTAGTCTTTGTTTTAGCTTAAAGCAAGTCTTCAGTGATTTTGCTTTGCTATGGTTTTGTTACAAACAAAATAACTTTGTGTGTTTTTTTTTTTAAAGAATAGTCAACAGTTAGTACAAAGTATAAATATACTGTATAAGTGAAAATTTTAGCGAGAAGCAAATATAGTGATTTCTCATTAAAAATTGATATTTTATTTTTTGTGAGAAGTCATTTTAGCAATTTTAAAATGACCATTAAAGGAGCTATTACAGATAAAACACAATTTTTAGCGATATTCAGTTTTTGCATCACTCTCGCTAATATCCTCCCTAAAAATTCTGCTTATATGGTATTATAAATATACGTATTGAAATATTGATACATGAAGGGATTTTTTAAACAAGTTTTGTCAGTGTTATTGGCATGCAGATCCCACAGACTTGACATGTAAAATAAAATTGTGCCTATATTACAAGTCTGCCTGATTTTATACGCACAAAAACACTAAACATAAAAATAAAATTAGTTTTAAAGCTTATGTGTGACTATAAACAAAAATGTTGTTCAAAACAGTATCATAGTTTGAGAATAAGCTTCACAAAGCACGATATTAATCTACATTTACATGAACTCAATGAAAACATAAATAACTGTAGATGAGTAGAGATTGCAATACTTGTTCAATAAATGACTGCTTTACTTAAGGATGTACTTTCTGGTGGATTGTGCTAAAAAAAATATGAATGATATGCTTCTTTTAGTGAAGAAGCAAATATATATTGCACACAGAATAAAATGTGATTTGTAAATTTTAGTGCAAAGTATAAAGAAGATGAACTTTTGGAGCTATTTCCAGAGGGTAAGTATGATCTATTGGTCCAGTGAAATCTTTCATCTAATTTATAATTCATTATAAATCAAATCTTAGTCAAGTTAAAATTGAAATGTGTATACAAATTTTCATTTATTATGCAGCATGTAAAATTAGAGCATTGATGCATTTATAATTGATCCTTGAATAATGTATAATAAATATTGATTATTTAATTACAGCGTCTGGTAACTTGTCACTGGAGAATTTTTCCCCGGCCTGGTACCTGCTGGAGAACCATCATAGTACAAGGTCTAGTTTTACTTTATCAAAATATCTATTTTAAAATTTTTTCAAAAAGGCTAGGGATATGCCACTTGGAATTAATGTTTTATTTTGAAAATGTCTTCTTCTTTTTTAGTTAATATGCCATTTTTTTTTTAAATTTAATACTAATTTGATGATTAATAAATTGATTTATTTTTGTTGTGTAGTTTTGATGACCTGAAGGCGGGGCTTGCCTACATGAAGAGGCGAGCCACCCAGAGGTCGGAGGGACCCATCGCGTTTGTCAAATCTAACTTGTCCTCCACACTCGACTGTCTAGAGAGCCTAGATGGTAAGGAATCTAAGTAAAATAACAAAGTTATATCTGAGTAAATCAAATAATTAATGGAGATCAGATTCATTTTTCTTCTTTGTTATTTTGTAGCAATGTACCAGCAGTTTTGCATTGATGATCTAAGAGGAGATGCTGTCAGTTCTTATGCCGTGTTGTTAATGCGTTAGTACCATTTTATTTTCATAGTTTTTTGAAAATTGATACTAAAATAATTTGCATGGATGTGAAGATCAGATAACTCAAGCAACATTGAAGAAACAAATTCCTGCTATAAATGTAGACCACATAGAGGATTAGTAATAGTGCTTAACAGTATCGATCCAGACTTTTACCATTTTATATTGCTTGGAAAACTTGATTGTTTTACTAAAAAGATATCACTTAGTTAGTGAAAGAGGCACTATTTAAGCAAAGTTATTTAAATTCTGGAAAGAAAAAAAACAATTGTGGTATTAATCTTAAAATTATTTTAGAGGCAAAGTCTTGTGCTGACGGCCTGTTTCAGGAAGTCCTGGGGAGAAAAGATAAAGCTGACTCCACAAGGAACGCACTGAGCGTGCTCCAAAGATTCAAGTTCCTGTTTTATCTCCCACTAAACATAGACAGAAATATAAAAAAGGTAAGCAAGTTGTATATACAGTGGAATGAGAAAACGTTTAAAATAAACAAAAAGTTAGTCCACATTTCATACTATGACATTTCTCACATATAAAGACAAACTGATTTTTTACATCTACTAATACATTATATTCTTAATTTTAAAACAAGAACATGCTGATTTGTATACCAGTAAATTTATAATAAACATAATTTAATGTTATGTTTACTTTCAGGGTGATTACAGTTTAGTGATCAATGACTATGTCAGGGCCCGGTCATTATTTGCTGATACTCAAGTACAGGTTTTCAAAAGAGGTTAGTTACATAACACTGTTTGCTATCTGTATGTTGGTTTATATTTGTGAGTGTTCAAACAAAGTTTCATTGGTTTAACCCTTACTCTGCTGCATTGTTTTATCTTTGTAAAATATGTGGAGAACATGGGGACATCTACACTTTAGAATATTTTATATATCCACAGTGTATACTGATGTTGAAAGTCGAATTAACACATTCCGAGACATGCTCCATACCAAGTTACTAGAATTACCCACACCTTTGGAAGAACAGAAGAAATTAATCAGGTCAGATTTATAACACTTTCGGATAATACACATACTAAGTCAAACTGAAAATATCTAGGTCAAATTTAAAATACTAATGTATTTTCATTATCACAAATCTTGTGTGAAAGTATACACTTTGACCAAAATAGTAATGTGTGGAGTGACATCACTGTTGAATCTGACTGAAATATAATTGAATCTGACTGACATACAATTGCATAATCCATTAAGATGTGCTTATTAAGCTAGATGTTTTCTTTGTTGAATAAGTAGGCTGATGAAATACCTTGTTAAATGCAAATGAAATCTGTCAGGACAGGCAGGAGTTGTCTTGATACATATACCCTGGCGGGGAATATTTCTACGAGTTTATGATTGTTACAGGTACTTGATGAGCCTGGGGTGTGTGTACATATATTGTATTGACTAGGTAACATAAGTAGACTGTTATATGTTACAGGTACTTGATGAGCCTGGGTTGTGTGTACATATATTGTATTGACTTGGTTACATAAGTAGAATGTTATATGTTACAGGTACTTGATGAGCCTGGGTTGTGTGTACATATATTGTATTGACTTGGTTACATAAGTAGAATGTTATATGTTACAGGTACTTGATGAGCCTGGGGTGTGAGGGTGACCCAGCCTGGGAGTGTCTGGTCAATCAACAGAAGTGGTTGATAGGAATACTGACCAAGTGTAAGGATGACCATTTACAGGAAGGTCAGTTATAAATGATTAAAAGTCAGATCAATGATTCATGTAGACATTTCCCACTTTGTTTCTGGTGGACATATTACTCCCAGAGACAGATTAAGGTGGACATTCCCTTTTAGGACAGAGTCAGCTAAGAAATGAATTTAATTTTTGAAGATCCATGAGGTCATGAAATACAGCGTTTCATGCCAGCATATTTCATATACACGTAGTGCATTAGAGCTTCATGATAAATATGCCGGAATGAAACATTATAGTTCATGTACATCATGATTTTTCAAAAATTAAATTCATTTTTTTTGTATATTTACATTATATTTCTGTTGAGTTTACCTCAAATTATGTGGTTCTACTATTAATTTTAGAAGAAAACAGTTTGCACTGATGTCAGGTGCAGTATTATGATGTAACAATGGATATATTCTGTTCACCCGTGGTAGTTCATGAGAAAATGAACAATCTTCTAATTTGCAAAGAATATTAAGGAAAATTATTTGGAAATGTAAATATTTAATGTTGTTTTTCCTCAGAAGCCAACAGTTTAGCTGATGGAGACGGTGGTAACATTGCCAAGAGTCCATTAGCTGTTCCACAAGGTATGTGCACAATGTGCTATTCTTTTACTGGAAACAGTTTGCAGATTTTTTTTTATAAATAATGCAACTGATTTGCTTTAAACTACTACATGTAATGATCAGTATAGATATCAGGCCAAAAGAATGTTTTCAACAACAAAACCTTTAAGTTGGACTCTTACATTTTAGGAAAGGGGAGGGATACAAATTCCAGTGTTAAATCTACATCAGATCAAACAGGTTAGTGTAAACTACCCGTACCAAAATATAATTAAGAATGATGCTCTTATAAAAGAAAATTCAAATTCAACTTGTAATTTAATTTGACTCGAGCAGTGGTAATCTGTTTGTCAGTGTGTCAAGGTTCACTATAGTCTTTTGTTAGATTTACTTGATTAGTAATATTTGACTGTTACGTCCTTGGCTGATATGTTTAAGTGCTGTCTCCTAGATTGTATTGTTTAACTGTTGTCTTCCAGGATGGAAGTCTGGTACCCCTCAGAAGATTCTGTTTGTGGAGGAACTGACTAACTTGATGCTGGACAACATTCCTGACTTCTGGAAGCTGGGACAGGCCTACTTCTCGGGCTCCCTCTTTGTCAACACAAAAGAGGTTTAATTGCTTTATCTTCATTGGTTATCAAATTATAGCTTTTACATGTACTTAGTTCAATAGGTTATCATCCCCCACTTTATATTTTTTTTTTGTAGACATCAGATAAACAGTACAAAGCAGATACAAGCAAACACAGCAAGTTTAAGGTACTTATAGTTCATTTATCATGTAAAGTTTCTCTTTTTTTCTAATTTTATCAACTCGGAATTTAACTTCTTCTTGCCTTTATAGTTTCATTTTATTTTCTTCTGATGTTTATTTTTCAGCAAATGGTTACTGATTTAATAAGTCTATTTTCCAATTTGGTGCGAGCTGCATTTTTACCAGAATCTCTAGAGAATATTCCCAAGGAGACTCGAGATACGTACGGAACGTGGCCCGCCCCGTGTAGCGATATTCCAGGGGGCTGGCTGCCGTCCAGTGTTAGACATGTCAGGTTAATATCATTTTATCATTAGACATGTCAGGTTAATATCATTTTGTCATTTACTTTAAAGTATGGGGAAAAAAAAATGTAAAAAGGACTAGTAGATACAGAGATTACAATAATGAATGATTCTGATATTAGAAAAAGTAGGCAAGAAAAGTAAAAAAAATTTCAATTCAGAGACGAATTTTAGAATATTGTTAATGTTTTATATTTATTGAGTACATGTTTGAAAAAAATTGATTTTTGAACATATGTAGTCGTATACCTGATTTACAGGTTCTGTGTGAACTCGTTGTCCTTCCTGGATTTGCCAGGAGATTCACCGCTATTAATACAGGACCTAGCTCTGGACATCAGGACAAACTGCATGTTTACACTTCTTAAACAGGCCATAGCAGGTCAGTCAGGAGGTCCCAAACAAAGACTGTTACATTTAGATTGCATTCAGTTTGTAGTGTTTTACAGTTCACATTAAGTATTTAAATTTATTTTTAAAAAAAGAAGATAAATTGAAAAATAAATGATGAATTGCATACCGAGGTAAAGTACCAGATTTCATCCGAACTCTGATTCGACTTGTGCAACCTTTTAAATTTTTTATAATAATGTCATCAACATTTTTTCTGTACAAGTCTGCATAATTTTTTAACAACCCTCCTAGTTGTACATCTTTTTAGAACAGAGGGGAATACGCATAAGCAGCTCAAGCTTACACTTGTTCAATGACACTCTCTACCATCGGCTCTTACATTCACCTCTGTCGTTGGCTCACGTATATCACAGTGATAAACACGAGAAATAGTGCATTTGTTTTAATTTATTATAATTCAATTTCTATGCTCGTGTCTGAGTTTTGAGATGGATATTTACTAAATCAATCCAGAACTATTAATTTAATTTGAAACAATTCTGCAAATATCACGTTTTTTACGTTTATTTCAAAAATCTTGACGTGAGCCCATTGCAAAGGTGTATGGAGAGAGGAACGAATGACAACTCTGCATGGGAGATTGGTTCAATGAATACAGATTTGTAAATAATGGATTGTAAAAATGAAGCCCTATATTATTGTCTTCTATTTTCCAGATGTGAAACAGCTGTATACTAAAGAGACCTGGGTCGTGGATACTGATGATGAATCAGGGGGCACAACTCAACTGGTAAGACTCTAAAAACAGTACATTTACACATGTCAGAATTCACACTGAATCAAGCTTCATGTGTATTTAGCAAAGAGGCATAACCAGTCTATCTTTATCAATAATTTTTTTTTTTCCTCTCAGCCTGCTCTTTTTGAGAACATTGTGAATGAGGCGATACATCATCTCCATGAAGTGGTTGTCCAGAACAAGTCAGGGGAACCAGAGGTCAGTGTTACTATAAATAGTGACGTAATGAATTAATTATATGTACTTGTAAATCTATTGTTATTGCATGCATTGAACATTAAATCTCATTTGATCGTAAAATCAAGATACTTGATCAGAATTGTAAACACATTTTGAACCGGTAATTTAAGCAAGTACCTTTACATGTAGATTACCTCATAAAACAATTGAAACAAAGAAAACTTTTTCCCCTACAGATTTTTGCCCAGAGAACCATACAGAAGGATGCCACGGCCCTGTGTACACAGCTTCTACAAGCCTTCTCCCCCTGCCTTCATAAACTGGCTTTTGATCCTCCAGAAATCTCAAACAAAAAGTAGGATGTCACGAAATTTTATCTTTTTAGATGAGGCATTTATCTTCTGTTTTAAAATTATATCTTGTAAATAATTACCAAGGCATTGAATCAGAAAGCTATTTTGTAAAGAAGAGCATATTTCCAAACATTGATTATAATTTTTTAAACAGATTTAAGGGAGGGAAGAAAGTTATATCCCCAGAGGACACCACAGCACCCATCCTGGAGGATAGAATACCACCATTAGTAAGATTTGTGTCGCTGAAATTGATTTTTACAGAAACCTTATTAAATAATCTAAAACTAAAAAAATATAAGATTCATGTTGGAGAACAATAACTGTAAACTCTTATGAATAAAATTATCATCAAAGGATTGTATTTGTAAAACTTGGGAACTTTTGTTAACATAGCTTTTTGATTGTATTTTATCACAGGAAACTGTCTAAAGATAAAATGGATGGGAAGTGAATCTTTAGTATATTTTCCATGTAAATTATTTGATTTTGGTTACTTTAGGACAAGCGGCTGATAATCATGTTAAGTAACTGTAACCACACACTTGTGAGGGTGATTCCTCGTCTGGTAGAGAACCTCAACAAACACGGCTATGTGGAGATGGAGAAGGCCCTCAGGGTAGGTAACTCTGTTCTCCTACACACCAGGGGAGTATTTATTAACTCTGGATTAGGGGTAAATAGAAACCAATGGTGCTAAAAATAGAGGTTGATGGAGTATAAGCTGAGTAGTAAAATATATAATCACCTGTATTTAAATTATACCTAAAAGATAATAAGTATCTATTTGCTATGTGTTTATGTGAAGGGTTTGTAAATGGTGAACAGACTTCCAGTCCATGAAAATAACATTGCAGAAGTAATGAAAAAAATAGCTCAATGTACAATTTTTTAAAAAATGTAGAATAAGTCAATTTTATGTTAGAATTAGAAAGGTTGTCTCTTTTTAATGAAAGTGATTTTTAGCTCAGATATTTGCACAGTAATGAAACACAACACACACAAACAGATAAACAAAGAATTGGGCACTATTTAGATTACTTGAGTTCTAAAAACAGTTATTGTTTAACTTGTTTGTAACTGACCATTCTCTCACTGTAGTAGTTTTGTTTGACTCGGTTTTTATTTACAGAGACCTCAATGTCTTTTCTCCCCCACCCCACAAATCTCAGGATCATATCTGTTGTGGCTTTCAATTGAGCTTTGTTATCTTCTTTGTAACACACTTGGGACTCTCACATTTCAGAATGATAATGAAGAGAAAACAAATATTTCTAACCTCCAAAAGGCAGATCTAAAACAAGGATATCAGGTTCTATCATGTGTATTTCAGCATCCCCGCTTTCTGTGTATCGTATGTCTGTCTGTACGTCGTACTTCATTATTTTCTCTTTTCACTCTATTTTTTATTTCCAGACTGCCAGCATTTTTTTTACCCTCCCATTGTTACCACGGTCACATTTTATTTTTACTACAGCACTTGCTTAAATTAAGGCTTTTAATTTTTTTAATGGTTAATTAATTTAAATTAAGATATTATAGTAAAGGTTGTTGATTTTGTTCAAGTAATAACTGAAATTGTTTGCATGGTTGAAGTTAAATTAAGCATGAAATAGCTTCAGGTTTTTACATTTTTGTTTTAGCTTTGGTTATATGAAGTAGTTTTGTAATTTTTCTGTGTCGTTTTGTATTTATTTGATTACCTTAAATGTGATAATGTACAGCATCCATGTATGATTACTTGCGATATTTTTGTCATTTACATGGATTTCTTTGATTTAAAACCGACTTGTTTTCATGAAAGAATTATACAATTTTTTATCCTTTTAACAATGTAGGCTGCTAAAGATACATATGTGGATTTAGACGACAGTCTGTTTGAGGCGTATGTAGAAGAAAAGTCCAATCCAATTGTTGGTGCCATAGAACAAAATATGTACAGAGGGGGATTTGAATGGAAAACATGCAAAAAACCCACAGGTAAGTTAAGACATATCAAACCTTAGGATTTGAGACAAGTAATTAGTTAATTGCCTTGTACTCAATGTTGAATACTTAGCTGAGCTGAAATTATTTGACCAAGAAAATCTACATGTACATGAATTCAGAATATATGCAATAAAATTTGGTTATAATGAAGTCACTGGCATCAATGAAATTACTTCTCTATATCGGTAATATCCTTATAAGGAATTCTCTAAACTTATATAGCTAGGGATCCAAGATAACTTTGCTATATCTGTGAATTTGCAATATCCGTGTTCGTGCTAAATGGGTTCAACTGTATTGATAATTGAATTAATGTATGAGCATTATTCTGTTCGAGTATTATTCAACACATTGTAAAATAAGGGTTTTGGCTTTCGTGCAAGTTATCAAAGTGACTTTTCCCCTTCCTTGCCTTAGCCTTTGTACTTATCTTGCACTAGGCTCTGGGTTTCTGCCCTTTGTCTGTCCTGATTAGTCTCTGCCTAAGCCTTTGTACTGATTTTAGTCTCACTTTTTCCAAATGAATATATAGTGGAAATGTGATGCTAAGATCAAAAGTGAGCTTGTCTAAGTTTTATGTTTTATGCCCCCCAGGTCTGCTGGTATTAAGATATGAAAGTAACGTGCTTAATTCCTTCTACAACAGAAGAAATTGTTGCCAAAGAAATATGACATCAGCTGCAGAGGCCACTGTAGTAAAAAATAAATACATAAAATGCAATAAATTGTAAACAAAGGCAATAAGCTATATGTCATCCATTCTAAGCTGGTTACCAGAAATCAATCGGGTGTAACGTATGGGAAGTGTATGCCCCACTGCAGATATCGAGTATAGGGAAAATAATATGGAGTGTGACTATTTACAAGTCATGCTCAGCTTCAAGATAACCAAGATGTGGCTCAAACAAACGATGATATATGGCTTTGGTAGTAGATGACTAAATCCAACTGAATGGATTGTAAAGAATAATTTCAGAAAATTACAAAGTTAAAAGCCTTGCATTCAAATTCTCATTAAATCAGACTAATCAGGTTTATGGCTGATAAGTAATGAACATTTCAACATAAATTCCTTTTTCCCTGGATTGTGTTTGTCATGTTTTATAATACTGTAGATCACTAAATTTTCGCAACACCTTATTTTCGCGAGATAGTCATTGACTCTTTATCAGCGAGACATAATTTTCACGAATTGTTGTTTTTCCTCTATATAATTGTAAGGAATACTTTTAAATGCGAGAATGAAATTTTCGCGACCTCATTGTCTCTCCTAATTACGCGAAAATAAAGTTCTCGCGAATAAAACGTGATTTACAGTAACTCCATCTTCTGACGGAATCAATTTTGTCATTATTAAAGGTTTAGATTTTGTATCATTTTTCCAGTGGTAAAAATGAATGTAAAGAATGATTATACTTATAAATGAAGAAAATGTTGCCCAGGTAAATTACAAAAAAAAAAAAAAATGGAATAAAGAAATTAGCCCTATTAGATTATTAATGCATTTCTTCTATGTCTTTGGGCATACCTGCTCTCAAACAAAACTTTTAAAAGGTAAAGAGCACTGTATTTAGGTATTTACATGTCATTGACCCCATTATGAACTGTTGAATAATCTGATTCATTACGTGATTTGTAAACTCATTTAACTTCATGAAAAACAAGATGTGTTTGTGAAACACTGATACTTCCATATGGTAGCTTATGGCAAGGGTTGAAGTTTTTTAAATGCAAGTCAAACTCCAAAGTCAAAAGGTCAAAAATATGTGTACCCATTGAAAGGTCTTTATTGTCACTAGCCCTGGAACAAACTATTCAAAGTTATTCACTCATGGCCAAAGTTAAAGTTTAAAAAATTTTTGTTTTGCATTGTTGGTCAGACTTCAAGGTCAAGAGGTCAGTTTTCATGGTATCTGAAGGAGGATCTTGTCACAAAGCATATACCTGTGAAATATGAAAGCCATAGCACCCCCCACTTAAAAGTTGTAGGCAAGGTTTAGTTTTTGCTGTCAAACAGACAGATGAACAGACAGGGCAAAAACTATATACCCCCAAATCTTCGTTAAAGGGGGCATATAAAATTAAATAAAATCACTTGAATTTAGATCTGATCAGAATTTCATAAAAATGACTTGGCTTAGAAATAGAAAACTCCTCCAAAATCCTCCCAAATCACCCCTGTTGTAGCATTGTGATTCCCTGTAAAATAAATGCTTGGTGTCCCATCAGTAGTTTTCATTAAAATGTAGATTAAAGAGACAAATCTAAAATCCAACACAAGTGAGCACAACATTCCAGACTAAACACTTCTTTAGTAAGCAATTTTAGTTACTTTAAATAAAACTATATCAGAGCTTTCAGTGACTTTTTTCATGGTTTTCTTCTTTGACAGGGGTTAGGAACTACGTTAAAGAGATGATTATGAAAATGATTGAGGTCCATGCTGAGGTGTTTGCTGTCTCACCCGTGTTTGTTACCAGGGTAACCCAGAAGGTGATAGAGGCAGTGTCAGAAGAGCTAACCAGACTGATACAGTGTGTGACAGAGCATGGGCCCTACAGTCCTATACAGGTAAAAAAATCCTATTATAAACAGTGCCATACAGGTAATCAGTCCTATACAGGTTATCAGTCCTTAAAACAGTCCTATGCAGGTAAACAGTCCTTAAAACAGTCCTATACAGGTAATCAGTCCTCTAAACAGTCCTTAAAAAGTCCTATGCAGGTAAACAGTCCTTAAAACAGTCCTATGCAGGTAAACAGTCCTTAAAACAGTCCTATACAGGTAATCAGTCCTATAAACAGTCCTATACAGGTAATCAGTCCTATAAACAGTCCTTAAAAAAAGTCCTATGTAGGTAAACAGTCCTTAAAACAGTCCTATGCAGGTAAGCAGTCCTATAAAAACTACTATAAACAGTCCTATACAGGTAAGCAGTCCTGTAAACAGTCCTATACAGGTGTAAAGTCCTAGAAACAGTCCTTTACTGGTATAAAGTCCTAGAAACAGTCCTTTACTGGTATAAAGTCTTATAAACAGTCCCATTCAGATGAACTGTCCTAAACAGGTAAACAGTCCTATAGAGGTAATGAATTTTAAAAACAGCCCTATATGTATACAGGTAATCTATCCTATAAACAGTACTATACAGGTATACAGTCCTATAAACAGCCCTATATAGTTAAATAGTCCTATACAGGTAAACTGTCCTATACAGGTTAGATAGTCCAATATAGGTAAACAGTCCCATGAATAGTCCTATTCAATTAAATGGTCCCGTGCAAGTAAACAATCCTAAACAGTTATGTATCCTATACAGGTAAAAAGTCCTATAAACAGTCCTTGGTGGTAAATAATACTACATGTATAAACAATCCTGTACAGGTAAATTGTCTTATTAACAGTCCTAAGTTATCAGTCATATAAACAGTCCTGTACAGTATACAGGTAAAAAGTGCTTTAAATATTCCTATACAGGTAAACAGACCTAAAAATAGTTTCATTTAGGTTAACAGTCCTATAAACAGTCCTGTACATTTGAACAGTCCTTTACAGGTAAACAGTCCTTTTAACAATCCTATGCCAGTGAATAGACTGATAAACAGTCCTTTACACGTAAATAAACCTATAAACAATCTTCTACAGATAAATAGTCCTATAAACAGTCCTGTACATGTAACAGACCTTTAAACAGTTCTATTCAGTTAAACAGGCTTATACAGATACATTTGTAGATAGTCCTGTATTACTATTATAATGTAACACTATTATAATGTACATATGTAATTATTCCTGAAAATCTGAAGCTATTTTTCATTTGTTTCCTTGCAGGCAAGATTGGAGCTGTTGGCATTACAGGAAACAGTCAATGTGTATCTCACTCCACACGCAAGGTAAATGTCAAGTACAGCTGTACTACTTAGCCTTGGTACAATATAGACTGTCTCATTGGATTTCTTACAATTTGTTTAATTAAATGACTTTCTGTCATTTATTTTTAGATATTGGGTAAAAACAATAGATGTCATTATTTTATTTCTCTGTCCTCCAATCTCATTAAAATCAGATCTTTGTTACGCTCCGAAACAGCGACCATCAGAATTTTGGAGCATAACAAAGATCTGATTTTTGAGTTGGCTCGCGTATTGTAAATTTTTTCAAATCAAGGTGATCCATAGCCAAATATAATAGTTCTAGCAAAAATTGCTTTGGTTTGAGTGATTGAATAAACTTAAGAGGTAAAAACTGTATAAAATTTCATACTGTAACATTATTTATGCCTTCAGCTTTTAAAGAAATTTTTGATTAAATACCTTTATCAGAATTATTTCAAGCATGTAAGGCGGATCTAATCTTCCCATCTGAAGTTTATTTATAATTGACCTAGAATACTCCCTAACACAAACACCTGCTGCTCTCATTAGCTGCAGCTAGTTGTTGTTGAAAATCTATTTTTAGAATCCAGATTTGCTGTGGGAACCTTTAACCTAATTATTCCATAACACTGACCACTTTCAGCTAGTGTGCTGAAATTCCCAGTCAAAATAATACGATGTAATTATATTTATATATAAAGGAAAAGCAATATACATGTAGTATTACAATTTCTTGCATAATTATATGTGATGTTGAAAAAGCTCCAGACTAGATAATTTTTCATAATATTACCTTGCATAATTTCTGTGATGTTGACTCCAGACTAGTAAATTAAACGAGCTGATTATCTGCACAGACATAGCTTTGTCAGCCTATATACATGTAATACATGTATATACATTAATAGAGCCATTGTTCATTATTACAGTACATGTTATAAGGATGCTCTGAATGACTTGCCTGTGTTGAAGCCAGAACATAAAAAGTAAGTAACACACTAAAAATAGTACATATGCACCTAAACTCTACTGGTGAATGATGGTTCAAGGATTTATTAAAGCAGTTTAATTTGATCTGGAATTTATATATCACTCAAGACATATCGCTCATATTTACTTTTCTGGAGGGTTGATTGGGGAAAGTGAAATAATTACATGTACTCGGAATTTAGGTACTGTAGAGATCAAATTTTTGCACTGACAATGAAGTTGGGGAAGCTAATGTGATATCCTCAGCGTCAGTGTCGGTATCCCAGGTGAAATTTTTTGGAGCAGTTTTCTTTTTAAGTTCTTCTCTGCTCTGTATTAATCAGAGATAAATGGAAGATGCTTCTTGTGTGTTGCATTGTACCAGTCAAGGTTTCAGATGATGCAATTTTAGCAAGGAAAAACTAGTTTAACATTTTTGGTGCAGGTTAATGTTTAGAACAGGTCTTATTTACAAGTAACTATAAGCCGTATGTTGACCAAATGTATGGATGATACATCTAAGGATGCATACTGCCAGGCATGCTTCAGATGCTGGATCTGAACTAGATTTTCAAGATGAGTGAACAACTTTTAGTTTTTGAAGCATGTTCATTCTAAAGTAAGTTCTGTGTGTATAAAGCCTATATTGACCAAACTTGCATGGATGATACATCTAAGGATGCACTTTGCTTTGGATGCTGATTCTGACCTTCCTTTTCACCATGTTTGTCCAGATTAAAGATTTTGGGGCAGGTTTATTCTCTTAGTTACTATTTCCCATACAGCATCTTAGAATGTACATTTACTAGATTATTAGTTAAGTTTGAGCTTTACTTAAGAACAATATTTTTAGAGGAGAGCTCTGTAATCTGTGATTACCTATGTTTTTAATCTATTCAACTTTTCATTACTTTGAAGGACATTTGTGAAACTGACAAAAATTGAAATCTATTATGCAACACTTACATGTATTTATTTTTAAAACATTAACAGACTGAAACTTTTGTTTTCATGAATTTTGATGAGAGATTGTTAAAAGCATCTGTCCTTGAAACACATAATTTATATGACTTTATTGTTTCATCATTAGTTTTCATGGCAGCGTGTGTATTTTCAATCATCATACATTGCAATCTAATGGTTTGCAAGTCAGATTTCTTAGTGTCTGATGAATTTATCTAAGACGTCTTCATTTGTCACCAGACATAATGGGGTAATTAATAGTACAACAGATTATCTCATTCCTCAGATTCCTACCTCTGTGTACATAAACAGGTGTTGTCCATGTAGAGCAGTGTAGGGCAGTGTTTCAGACTAAATTAGACTGATTTGACTAGTACTGGTTTCAGATTTACTGTGAAATGCAGATCTGGAATATACATTCAATCTGTCAAAATATAATGCTAAAATGCTTACTAAATATTAATTTATATATTATTAATAAATATTTAACAAACACATATGTGACCGTTTTTATAAAACAGGTGCATTTGTTTGACATTGAATGCCTAGCATTACATAATTTGTTCAGGACTCTAAGTTATAAATAATAGAAATAGCTGCAATCATTGTCATATCATCTGAATGGTGTGACCTTGACATCACGTGTATCATAAAAAATAGAAATTGGGACACACCAATGTACCGGTAATGATCATGTTTGAGGAGGAAGAAAATGAGACGGAGACTTTGATCAATACTTGGTATAAAATTTTATTTCTAGTAGGACAAAAATCGATATAAAATTTTTATATTTTATACAAAAGCTAAGACTACTGCATTACAGATGTGTTTGAACAATGAACACAGACAATAACAAACATTGGATGATGAACTTACTATCGTTAAGCTGTCGATAAATTATGACTTCATTTGTAGACAAGAAAAAGGAGATGTTTTAATTATCGGCAGTTTATTTGCTAATCATGGCGTGTCAATTGGATGCACAATGAATACTGATGCCTGCAATTTCTGAAAATAATTTGTTTTTGTAATGTTCAGAATTCTAAGTAGAAATTGTTGATTTTATAAAATGAGTCATGCATCTTCATTGATTTTTGATACTTTGTATGATAGAAAGGAAACATGCGTATATTTTAATCATTAAATAGGAGGTCATTAATTCAAAATTTGTTCAAAACAAGATAAGGAGTTGTTTTTATGCACTACCTCTGTGGTTTAAGCTTAATGTTTAAATGTATTATGATAATGGTATTAAGAGTGCTGTCATTTCATTGTAAGATTGATATGTTTTTATATCGCAATGAAAAGTAGGCTAGAATGATAAAAACAGCTGTTCTGACACACATTCACTGAAAATCAGTTATCTTCAAATGGGAATAGGACTTGACATAATATATTGACTACAAAATTTGGTGAATGATGTAATATTAATTTATATATCATCTAATCTCTCTCTCTCTCTCTCTCTCTCTCTCTCTCTCATAAATTGTACAAAGCTTCAAATATGATTTATAAATATTTCTTGAAAGGAATATATATTTGTATCTCTTTGAGAAGAAAATAATCAAAGAATACAATAATTGATTAATCTATTGATATCATATTTTGTATACATAAAGCATATAGAAATGAATATGATTCCCAAGTTAACAAATATATGCACTGGATGTACATGTACCAGTGTAGAGATTTCTACATGAATTTAACTCTTAAACAAGAGGCCCAGGGGCACAGTGCTCGCCTGAGCAGACCGGCTAGGAAAAAGCAAATATCAGATCAGAAATGAAAGTTTACTGAGGTTGGAGGGGGGCTTAAATTTTAACCCCCCAGAGGGTCATGATTTGAACAAACTAGAATCTACACTACCTGAGGATGATTCCATATAAAATTAAATATCACTAATCATGGCTTTGAAGTACTTGAAAAGGAGATTTTAAAAGATTTCCCTATATATTCTTATGAAAAACTTTGATCGACAATTTTGGCCTACATGTACCTGAGGATGATTTCACATGAGTTTTATCTTTCCTGTCTCAATGGTTCTTGAGAAGAAGATTTCTAAAGATTTTTCCTATATATTTCTATGTAAATCTTTGATTGGCCATTTTGGCCCCACCCTACCCTTGGGGGTCATGATTTTAACAAACTTGAATCTGCAATACCTGAGGATGACTCCACATGAGTTTCATCTTTCCTGGCCCAGTGGTTCTTGAGAAGAAGATTTTTTAAGATTTTTTCTTATATAAAACTTTTAACGGCCATTATGGCCCCACCCTAGGTGCAATAATGTAGCCCTCTCCCTTTTCTTTTTTTTATTTTTTTTTTTGCGTCCGGCGTTTTTTTATCTTTTTTTTACAAAATGCTACTCCTCCTACAGTTTTGATCTGATTTCAATATAACTTGGCATATAAGTAGATTACACTAAGATATTTAATTCTGTGTATCGGTTTTTGATTTCGACGAACGGTGTTGGCGTTGTTACTAAAAATAGAAATTTCTGTGAAATTCTTTCAAAATGCTACTCCTCCTACAGTTTTGGTCTGACTTCAATATAACTTGGCACACAAGTAGACTACACTAAGATACATAATTCTGTGTATCGGTTTTTGATTTCAACGAACGATGTTGGCGTTGTTACTAAAAATAGAAATTTCTGTGAAATTCTTTTTTCCTCCTACAGTTTTGGTATGATTTCAATATAACTTGGCAAACAAATAGACTACACTAAGTTACATAATTCTGTGTATCGGTTTTTGATTTCGACAAGCGATGTTGGCATTGTTACTAAAAATAGAAATTTCTGTGAAATTCTTTCAAAAATACAGTTCTGGTCTGACTTTAATATATCTTGGCACACAAGTAGACTACACTAAGATACATAATTCTGTATATCGGTTTTTGATTTCAACGAACGGTGTTGGCATTGTTACTAAAAATAGAAATTTCTGTGAAATTCTTTCAAAATGCTACTCCTCCTACAAATTTAGTCTGATTTCAATATAACTTGGCAAACAAGATTAAGATTAATTCTGTATATCGGTTTTTGATTTCGACGGACGGTGTTGGCGTTGTTACCAAAAATAGAAATTTCTGTGAAATTCTTTCAAAATGCTATTCCTCCTACAGTTTTGGTATGATTTCAATATAACTTGGCACTCAAGTAGAGCACTAAGGTACATAATTCTTTATATCCGTTTTTGACTTCAATGAACATTATTACCTTGGTTAATAAAGATTTTCTGTTACTCTCAAATTTGCTACTTCAAATACAGTTTTAGTCTGATTATAATATAATGTGGCTTGCAAAAAATAACACATTCAAGGATCATTATTCTCTTTTTTGCCTGTGCAAATTTTCAATTCCCAACTGTTAAGTACTTTCCTCTTCCTTTGCTATAAGTACAAACCAGTATTC